AAAAGGCAGCCAGTCTGGAGGGGGGGGGAAGTAAGTGCTTGGTACCTTTCAGAAGGTACAAAGGGAGGTGTGGTCTAAAAGCAAGGGCAGAGAACCGAGAGTCAAGATATCTGCTTTCTGCCCAGCTCAGCCACTGGCTGCCCATGTGACCTTGAATGGGAGTTTTCACTTCTTAGCGACAACAGCAAAACGGCAAAAATAGCACCTGCCCTTTCTTAAACCTGCAGGGTCGTTGTGATTGAGGAAGTCAAATGGAAAGATCTGTAGAATTGAGATAAAAATAGAGGGGTCTGATAATAACAATGCCTTCGTTTTTGTGGAAGAATTGCTGCAGTGTTTAATTTAATGCATCCATCCACTCTATCAAAAAGAGGCCACCTGACCAGCTAACATTTCCCAAGTGCTCGCTCCGTTCCTGCCACTGGACTAAGCATTCCACAAGCCATCTGTGTTATATAATTCTCAGACTAACTCTCTGAGGGCAGTGGCTGTTATTAATTAGCGCCCTTTTACAGATAAGGAAACCGAGGCTCAGGTTAAGTAATGTGCTTATGGTTCTATAGCTAGTAAGTGGCGGGAGACAGATTTGAGCCCATCGCTCCAGATTAACTGCTATACTCAGCCTAATATTCTACTTCAGTAAAAAATACCTTTTTTCATCTCCTTCCAGAATGTCAAACAGAAAATGACAGTGCATCTTTTGCTGATAGAGTGGCAGCGTTTGGGGAGTGGGTAGTCAGGCCTGCATTCCCAAAGCCAGGTTCCCCTAGCAGCTACCCTGCGTTTGTGGGGCCCACCGCCTCTTGGCGTAGGCTCTGTCAGTCATCTCAGCTATGGGTGATGTGGGGCCTGATGCCCTTCTCAGAAGCACATGGACTGCAAGCCCAGTGTTGTTATTTCTCTGGTGACTCCAGGTCTCTGCGTTTGAGTTTGTGACAAAGAAATATGCCGTGGACACCCCACAGCGAGCGGTGGCAAGCCACGTCTGGCAAATGATGCTCCGAGCACACTGTTCATTTTTAAACATTTTATTCATTTCTCTTCCAAAATGACAAAGCGGCCATGCATTCATAGGTCGAATATAAAGAATGCCTCTCGTTTGGAAGGTTGCATCACAGGCAGGGCACACGGGCCAGAACATAACTTCATTTCCATGTAAATCTCTGTTCACATTTCCAGTACGTTTCTTCTTTCTGACTGATGTGGAATTGGCAGTGACTTTCAGCACTTGAGTTAAAAACATCTGATTTCCTTCTCCCTTAGGCAGTGAGTGATCCACAGACACACAGAGAAATCCATTAGAGAAGCTGTGTTTGCGAGGAGAAAAGAGAGGCTGCATTAGTGAAATAAAGACTCCTAGCTTACTGGCTCTGTAGGCTGTTCACTTAAGATTCTCTTCAAGGGAAGTGCAGGGTTATTATTGTGTTGAAGCGGGAAACCTTAAGGATTATTCTGGTTAACGAGTATTTTGATGCCTGCAAAGCTCAGAAGAAACCCGTATTATAGGAGAAAGGAGAGGGTAAGTAGGAGTCAAGGCAGACAGATTCAAACTGGGAGTGCATACACTCAGCTAGGGGACCTTATGGGAAATATCAACATTTATAAAATTGGACAAAAATATAATAAATCCCTACGTCAGCATCACACAGCATTGACAGCTATTACCGAACAGCCGATTTTGTTCCATCTGATATCCACTCTTCCTCATCTACTATCGTTTGGAAGCAAATACCTGTACCCTTTTACTTATATTTTAGTAGGTATTTCTAGAAGATAATGCTTTTAAAACATAATCTCAATATTATTATCACATCTGAAAACTAGCACTATTTCCTTGGTATCAAATATCTGAGTCAGTGTTAAATTTTCCAGTTTTCTTACAAATGTGATAATTTTATTTTTATGATGCTTTGTTTGTAATAGGATCCAGATATCGTCTTATCATCTATAGCTTCCCCCTCCATCTCTTTTTTTTTTTTCCTTGCAATATTTGTCGCAGTCACTGAGTCATTTGTCTAGCAGAGTTTCCCATAGGTTATATTTTACTGATTACATCACTGTGGTATATTTTAGTGTGTTCTGTCTTCTGCGTTTCCTGTCTGTTGGTATCAAAGGCTTGATGAAATTCAATTTTTTTTTTGTTTTGGCTCCAGCATTCTTCATACAGTGATGGTGTGTTTTTCCACCAGAAGGTGCATAATGTCAGATTCTTTCATAACAGTTGATGATCAGCGCCTATATCCATTTGTTTATTAGTGGCTGGAAAAATGGGAATATTTTAATTATGTCACTGTATCTGGAAATAAAAAGAGAAAGAACATTTTAGAGAAAAACAGCTCTGTCTTCTGCAATTTGGTTTTCAAGTGCTATGGCTTGTACAGGAAAGACTGGTTAAGTGTTTGCTTCTTTCATTTGTTGATTTTCAACATAAAAATGGGTTCACGGGCCTCCTCCAATAGGAATGAAGTAATAAAATCCAAGTTTTTATCAAGTGTCTTTATGACCTCCTGGATTAAAACATAGTTGATGTTGTTTCAAGTGCACTGAGTTTTGCTAGGTGGTGCTCATAGTGCCCTGTCTTTGGCCAATGGAAGCTGCCTCAGCTTGGCTGCTGGGTGCCTTTGACACAACCCCATGAGTACTAGATAGTTAGCTGCTTCTAGGCCTTTTTTTATAGGACAAACCTTGGTTCCAACTACTGCTCCACCACTTGTCAGCACTTGGCCTTGTGCAGTTACTTAGACTTTCTGTTTGATCACCTGTAAAATGGGAATAATCATAGTACCTACCTTTGTAGGGTTGATGCAAGGTTAAAATAGTCAAGTATTTGGCAGAGTTGTCTGACACAGAGTAAGGGCTGAAAAATGTTTAGTTTTATTAATGTTATTATTATTATTTGAATTAATGAATAGTGTCATCAGGCCTTTGTAGCTTGCCCCATAAAATCATTACCCCTGCTGCAAAATGGACCTAATATTAATGCAAGAAAGAAGGCCACCTTTTTTTATGGGTTGGCAAATGGTTTTGCTGTGGAACTGAATGTCACACTTAGAATTCAGGAGAGAGAGGAGAGAAGAGGAAGAAGCATAGGTGTGGGCAAGGGCCTGAAACCACGAGATGAGGCCAGGTGCCTGTAGAAGGCAGAGGGGAAAACCGCTCCTTAGCTCTCTGTGTCCCCATTAAACGTGGCCTTGGCTCTTGCCAGAGTGCATGACGGGAGTGAAGGTGGTGTGTGGGGTGGAGGTTGTTGAGAACTTGGTGAAGGATGAATCATAGCTAGCTGCTCAGTCCCATCTGCCCTCCCAACCACAGGTCTGATGGCGACACAAATTTAGAGGCAGCTAGCCCTTGGGGACACTCCAGCTGTTTCAGCCCCTGGACCCAGTTCTCGGGTCCTTGGTCCTCTTTTCCCCATTTCCCAGAACTCCTTCCCTTAAGCACGTCTCACAGCTCCCTGTAATTGGGGTGGGAAGGGATGGTGGGAGGGCTTCTGTGACAGCAAAGTGGGCCTTCTCTTTGCTTCCTTATTGAAAGGTGCTAAAGGGTTAGCTTATTATTAATCTTCTTGTAAAGCATTTTTTAGATTTTTGTTCACGTAGTCTATTTGTGTTTGAGTTTGCTTTGTTCTTTGCTTCATTTACTAGTAAGTCTGCTTTTGTATTATGTCAATCCTTACGTTCTCATTGCTTTGGGTTGGGGCAAATTCACTTCATTTAGTTCCACTTTCCAATTTTCTACTGAATGCATTTAAAACATTTATTTATGCTCTCTTTCAGTTCCAAATATTCTATAACTTCTATTTGAATTCCTCTTTAGTTACAAGTTACCTTGAAATGTGTTTTTATGCATTTCCATAGGTGTGGGGTGCTTTTGGCTATTTGCATGATTGAGTTCTGATTTTACTGCACTGTGATCAGTGAATGTGACTACTAGGAGATCGCATTTGGGAGAACCTAATGGTCTAAGTCAGGGGTCGGCAAACCGCGGCTCAAGAGCCACATGCTTCTCGCGAGCCACATGCGCCTCTTTGGCCCCTTAAGTGTGGCTCTTCCATAAAATAACACGTGCGGGCGCGCACATACAGTGCGATTGAAGGAGTACCCTGATTAAGTTAATAACAATGAACCTACCTATATAGTTTAAGTTTAAAAAATGTGGCTCTCAAAAGAAATTTCAATCGTTGTACTGTATATATTTGGCTCTGTTGACTAAGAGTTTGCCGACCACTAGTCTAAATCATGATCAGTTTTTAGTCTGTTTGAAAAGGAAATGTGGATTCTCTTTGCTGAATTGGGTAACAGTGCTGACTGCAGGGAAATCCTCACTGAAACCACGGCACCCTGTCAGCATCCCAGACACAAAAATGTTTATTCATGGCTGATTGGTTTGGTGGGGCTCACAAAACATACCCAGGCCAATGGGTGCAAATAAGGTTAATATTGCTGGAGTCTGAATTCTTCTGTCCCAGTTGAATTAGCTTGTAAGACCTAGCCTTCAAGTGGATACTCGTGGCTATTGCAATCACAGGCTTTGGTGCTGTGCAATAATTTAGTAAGTGTGGAACTGATACACTTTCTCATAAAGAACAAAAGGTGGGGGCTGACCGGGGCCAGTGTCCTAGCATCCGGCGTTATTTGAAGTCCTTTGCCCTTGGCCGTTGTGGTTGTGTGGGTGTCACCTAACCCCTCGGAGCCTTGCTTCTTCATCAGTCAGCTCTGTGGATATGATACCATGCTGGTCACAGAGGAATGTGATGCTCCTCAGCCGAGGTCAGAGACGTAGAAGTGCTTATGAACCATGAAGAGATCCTCAAATATCAGCTGCAGGTTAAGGGCACCTTGTGAAGAAACAGAAAGTGTGGCCTTCGGGCATGTTAACTTCCTTCATTCTCTGGAGGGAGTCTGAACAGGGTGAGATAGAGAGAAGTGTTTGGAGGTCCCTGACATTCTTCGCGGTGCTTCCCTCCCTTTCCCTCAGTGCGGGGTACGGAAACTGCAGCCATGACGACCCACGTCACCCTGGAAGATGCCCTGTCCAATGTGGACCTGCTGGAAGAGCTGCCCCTCCCTGACCAGCAGCCATGCATCGAGCCTCCACCTTCGTCCATCATGTACCAGGTCAATTCTCCGAGGGCTCTGGATGCTCAGGAACCCGGGGAGGTCCCCTAAGAGGATTTGCCCTGAAGGAAGAGGGAAAGGGGGGTGGGGAGGACTCTGCATCTAGAAGGTGAAAGGTCGTGAGCTGATGGGGTCCCTGGTGCCCTGGTGGAGCCGAATGTGAGGAATAGATTAGCTAGTAAATGTACACCAGAGCTGTTCCTCCTCCCCGGGGAAGGCTTGTTGATCTGCTCTGACCCCAAATACCTTCCCGGCTGTTCTCGCTGCAGCACCAACCAAGGCGTTGGCAGCTCTGACCTCATGAATTAAATATTGCAATTTAGAAACCCCCAGAGCCTGCCTGGGTAATTACTTTTCCTTCATGTATGTGAGAAGAGCTCTTCAACTCCTCACAGCAGCTAATGGCTCAGGGGAGCCCGTCACAGTTGTTTGCTTTCGCCCAAGACGGGTGAGCTTGTGCTAAACCATGATCAGATGACAAACCCGTGATCCACCAGGCATGGGGGAAGGGCATCGTGCAGCTGGATTCTGCCTTGCAAAATAGTCCCCGGTCTGGGTGTGCAAGGCGAGTATGCCATGCTAAGAACAAAATAAGTTAATTTGAAATTCTTTGCTGTATTTGACCTTTTGAAAGTTCTTGGGCTGCTAACTGAGACTAAAGATAATGCGTAATATGTTTTTAATTTCATCCAGTGATTAGATTTATGAAGCACATGCCTGAAGTTTCAACCCATAAACTTTGTTTATTCACATTTTCTAACCCATATTGACATTTTAATTATATAAATATCTTTTTAAAAATATTTTTATTGATTTCAGAGAAGAAGAGAGAGGGAGAGGAAAATAGAAACATCAATGATGAGAGAGAATCATTGATCGGCTGCCTCCTGCACACCCCTACTGGGGATCAAGCCTACAACTTGGGCTTCTGCCCTGACTGGGAATCGAACCGTGTCCTCCCGGTTCCTAGATCACATTCAACCACTGAACCACGCTGGGTGAACAATATCTTTTTTATTATAAGCAGTTCAAGAAAGTATAACAATAAAACATTTTAAATAAATAAATAAATATACATTTTTACTATATATATGCATATATTTTTAATATAACGGAATCACACTACATATATTGCTATATGATTTGACTTTTTAGCTTAAAATTAATTAGGGATATTTTTCCTTAACAATACTGCAGTGCTGCCACATTATTTTTAACCACATCTATCGATAGTACATGGATAGTATGGATATACTATGATCTATTTAGCCTTTTCATGGTTAATGGACATTGGAATGATTTCCAGTTTTCTCTGTCACAAAAAATGCTGCAGTTATTACCCTTTACATATGTATCTGCACCCTCAGGTGGGTGTTTTTGCAGCTGCTGGATGAAAGCAGTGTGCATCCTAACTTTTCAACAGCCGTTATGTGTGTAGAGTGTCAGTAAGCAGTTATTCTCAGGGCCCCATGGGGTGACCCTAATGGGAAGTGGATGTGGGCCCTGTCTGTAGGCAGCTCTGATCCAGTGTGGCCAAGTGGGATTTGCTGCGGGGGGGAGAGGGGGAGATGAGTGGGTGATGTGGACATAGCTTTCTACAGAGAACTGGTGGCATTTGTTGGCAGCAGTGTGTTCCCTGGGCACCCAGCCACCTTGGACCTGTTTTTCAATAACCAAACGTTCCTGTCCTCCAATTCCCACAGGCTAACTTTGACACCAACTTCGAGGACAGGAATGCATTTGTCACGGGCATTGCAAGGTACATCGAACAGGCTACAGTCCACTCCAGCATGGTGAGTCTCTGGGATCCTGCCAGGGCAGGAGGGGCTGTGGGCAGCTATTCCAGGACCCCCAGCCTCAGGCAGACCCATCTCCTTAAGCCCGTTCTCACGCCTGCCCCAGCCCCTCTCCATGCCCAGGGTCATCCTGTGCCCCGTGTCTTCCAGCTTTGCAAATCCTGCTCCCCTTTAGGGCCCAACATTATCCTTATTCTTCCCTGAGCACCTATAGCTTTTGGGTTAACGTGTGGTTAGATCCTGCCTTGCTTTATACATTAGAGATACTTTATACTCTTGAGCAAAACCAAAGGTTTCTCATAAAGGGATGGTGGCTTTGGTATCACATGTTGTTGACTTGGGGAAGCTGGTGACCTACATTGTTCACACGCCAGGCCAGCTGTCTGTCTGACCCATCTGTGAGGAATCGCTCCTTCCCTCTGGGGCTTTCATGGATTTCATTCTCAAGCAGCAAATTCCTCATTCACAGGCCATGCCTGCAGCTCTCTGATCTTTCTCTCTATATCAGCTGTATTCTAAAACCTGGTCTTACCATACCCCACCCATTTATTTAACAATTAGGGTGCACCTGGGGCCTACCGAGACTGTGCTAAATGCTGGGGAGAGGGATACAAGGACAAACAGGGATTCTCAATGAGTCAAGTGGAAGTAGACAAGCTTACCATTTATCGAACACTTTCTGTGTAGATATTTTAAATGCATTGTCCTAGTCCTCAACTCACTGCACTGTGAGGTAGGTTCTGTTACAATACCCATTTCATGGATGCGAAAACCAATGCTCAGAAAAGTTAAGTACGTTACTAGTACATGGGCTCCTACCACTGAGAAGGTCTGTCTGCTATAGACTACTCTTTGCAGATCAATAAAAATGCACAAAATTAAAGGTAAATGACATGGTAAAAGTACAAAGTTCTTTGTTTATGAAGGGTCCTTGAGGATGTTGGGGAGAGCTTGATGAAGAAAGTGGCTTTGAGTGGGCCTTTGTATTACATATATGTATGTATAAAATATGTAAATACCCAAATTGCATTATAACCATATATGATACTTTAAAATGTATAAGGTATGTTCATACATGATGTTATATAACAGCCCTGTGACTTGCAAAGAGATCATTATACCCATTTTAGGGATAAGAAAACAGAGGCTTAAGGAAGTTAATAACAAGTTGCCCATGATCCCGCTAGTAAACCATGGGGTTGTATCTGGAATCCAGGACTTTCTTTTCTTTTTTAAAAACATTTTTCAATTTATTTCAGAGAGTAAGGGAGAGGGAGAGAGAGAAAAACATCAATGATGAGAGATAATCATTGATCAGCTGCTACCTATACACTCCACACTGGGGATCAAGCCCACAGCCGGGGCATGTGTCCTGATGGGGAATTGAACCTTGATCTTCTGGTTCATAGGTCAACCACTGGGCCACACTGGTCAGGCCAGAGGCAAAAATTTTCAAGGCTGCCTAGGTTTGGACTGTGAGGCACATATAAAGAAATTCTCTGGTATTTATGGAAAACTAGATAAGGGTCTGTGATATGCTACAGCCTGGATGTCTCACACTTCCAGAGGCTAAAAGTCCAATAGCAAGATGTCAGTAGGGTTGGTTTCTCCTGAGGCCTCTCTCTTTGGCTTGCACACCACCACCTTCTCGCTGTGTCCTCACATTGCCTTTCTTCTGTGGGTACACACACATATGGTGTCTCTGTGTGTCCAGGTTTCCTCTCATTAATAGAACACCAGTCAGATTGGATTAGGGCCCACCATGAAGGCCTCATTTTAACTGAATCACCTCTTTAATCACCAAATAGAGTCCCGTTTTAGGGTCCTAGGGGTTAGGACGTCAACATATGCATTTTGGAGGCACACAGTTCACCCATCACGGAGGGCTTTAATTCATTTAATAAAAATCAAAAGCAACAGAAAATGTTTGTCCATGGGAGAAATGTGAACAGACCTCTGCTTGGGGAGTAAGTTCCCTTTGTTAGTTATGTGTGGAATGAGTTGTGAGGCGAATACACTGGTTGAGATAAGGTTATCTACATGGGAGGTATTAGAGGCTGAGTGAGGGTGATGGCATGAGGGCTGGCTAAGGAAGTGGATATGAGAGACACTGGAGGGTAACTTCACCACCTGGCTTAACAGTTGGCTGTATAAATACCAGGTCAGGGGTACCAGGTGAGTCAGAAGGAGGGGCTGGTTTAGAGGGAAATTGTGTTTTCTATTTCTGCTGTAGCAGGTTGTCACAAACTCAGTGGCCTAAAACAACACAAGTTTATTTGCTTACAGTTCTTTCTGTCAGAAGTCCAGCCAGGATCATACAGGATCTTAAAGCCAAGGTGCTGGCAGGGCTGTGGAGGCGACTCTTATTTCCTAGCTTTTCCTAGCTTTCATAGGCCACCCACCTTCTTTGGCTCACCCTCTGCCAGCCAGCAGTTCGATCACTCCAATCTCTGCTTCCACCCTCCATCCCATCTCTGACTCGCCTGCCTCCCTCTTTCCCTTATTGGGACCCTTTTCCTTACCTTGGGTCCACCAGGACAGCCTCCCTCCCCATTTCAAGGTTTCTAACTTAATTACATCTGTAAAGGCCCTTTTACTATGTAGACAATTGTATTCACAGTTCTGGATATCAGGATTCAGGCATGTTTGTGGGGCTGTTATTAACAGGGATAGTGTCAATATGGTCTTAGATGGGTCAAGGATAGGGTGTACCATTGACATTCCTGAGTAATGCCCACGCCTCACTTCACTCAACAATTTCTACCTTGTAACTGGCTAACTCTCTCTCTAGAGTACCTTATCAGCAGCAAAATGTCTTCATTAGATGTTCACCTTCTTACATTTCTCCTGCCTGCACTTGGTAAATCTCTCAAATGACAGTAGAGCCAGAAGAAAGAGGAGTGAGAGGAAGTATATAAACTATATGTAATTGACCAGCTACATGGAAAGGTCAAGACTCTTTTCTGGAGGTGAGATAGGGGCTGAATAAGTGCAAAGAGGGACAGTCTGTCACTACCCATCCTGAAACTTGAGCTGAACTCACATTGGGTTTAAACCATAGACTTTCAGAATATTATAAAAGTAAAGGACCTTAGAGATCCTTAGTCCTGCAACTGCCAACCTGACTGCCCATTGGGTTCACCTGGAGGGCATTTAAAAATGCCGATGCCAGGGATAATGATTTATTTCTAGAAGGTCGTGGCCTGGGCATCAGGAGTCTTCCAAGTTCCCCAGGTGACTAATGTGAATTCAGGGTTGAGACAGTGATTGAGACCAACTCTTTACCTCCAATGAGAAAACGATGACATTTTTCAAGGTAAAACATGGGTCCAACAGAGCCAGAACCAGAAATCAAGCTTTCCATGGCCCCACCAGGGGCACCTTCCACCATGCCATTCTGACCTCCATATTGCAGGCTTAACAAACCTGGTTGATGGTCACCTGCGCTGGCCATAGGTCAGAGTCCATCTCATCCTGTTCACTGCCCTTGTCTCAGCATGGAGCGCAGAGCCTGGGACCTTCAGGGCTCAAACATTCTTTGGTTTGAGTGAGTTGGAATACTCACACCTACCGAGGGCCAGTTTGTTGCTAACACGTGGGCACATGTTCCTTATGTTGCTGTCACTTCCCTTTTTTTGACTTGTATTCTGAAGCAACAATAGCAGCAAGAGACCTACACGCTTCACCTTGGTTCTCTGTTGTCTCAAGGGCAACGTGTTCCTGATTTTCTACGTGCTGATTGAAAGGGTGGAGTTGACGGTGGCATTTGCTGTTGAAAACAAAACCATAAAAAGTAATGAGCTCTAAATTAAATCTGACCTTGTACTAGAAAGGCATTATAAAATAGACATGATATGTGGAGGAAAAAAAACAGTAAGGGTTGATTTTTGTATCAATACAAACATTTATAGAAAACATTTTCTATAATACTCTTTTTTACTGTGTTTTTTAGATATCGATCATAGAACATAAAATTCACCCTTTAAAGTGAACAGTTTAGTGTGTTTAATATATTCACCATGTTACACAACCATCACCACTATCTAATTTCCATCACCACAAAAAACAAAACAAAACAAAAAACACCGTTAGTAGTCACTCCCTATTTCTCTCTCTTCCCATTCCTTGGCAAACACTGACCTACTTTTCATTTCTATGAATTTGTCGATTCTGAACATTTCATCTAAAAGAATTCTACAATATGTGGCCTTTTGTGTCTAGCTTCTCTCACATAGCATCATGCTCTCAAAATTCACCCATGTTGTAACAGTATAATCTATCTGCATTTTATTCCTTTTATAGGTGCATACTATTTTATTCTCTGGCTGTACTGCATTTTAAGTTCTCCATTCATCAATTGTTGTCCACTTTTGGCTATTAGAATAATACTGCTGTGAACAAGTATGCAAGTTTCTGTGTATACCCATAGGCATTTCCCTAGGAGTGAAATTGCTGGGTTATACAGTTACCCTGTGTTTAACTTTTTGAGAAACTGCCAGACTGTTTTTTCCCCCCTCATAATACTCTTCACTCCCTTTATAGATTATGTAGTGTGTGTGTGTGTGTGTGTGTGCGCGCACGCGTGTGCTCGTCTGTTCCATTTAATTATCATAAAACTTTCTGAGGTTGTTATTGGCGTCATCACTAAATGGAGAATCTTAGGTTCAGTGATTTCCTGAAGGCCAAATGGCCGAAGAGTGATGAAGCTAAGATTCGAGTCCAGATATTTGGACCCTGAGTTCAGGGCTCTTTCCATGGTAGCACTTACTAGTTGTGGCGCGACATCACTGTATTTTTCAGATTTATTTTTTTGTGCTATTGTTGGTTTCGCTGTCTGTTCTGCTTTATTTTAAAGAATTGATATTAATAATTTTTCTGCTTGTGAAATAGTCACATAAGCTCTTCTAAAAAAAAAAAAAAGTGCAAACATTACGGTCCTATGTGATAGAAAAAGTGAGTGCCCCACAGAGAGCCTGCTAGTCATATTCTACCAAAATAGCTCTCAGCATACCATAATATACATTCCTAATTACTACTCTTTGTTTAGTTTTTTTTTTTTTATAGCCTATCTGCTATGCATACTGTTTTGCTACTTGCTTATTTCCTTGCTAAGTATATCTGGGACAACTTTTGCTGCTGGAACAAATACTGGATCTGTTGTCTTCTTTATGAGGTGGCTATCGGCTTTGAAAACTGCAATCAGTCGGCTTACAGAGCCCTTGGTGTCTGATGAGACCACCTGAGGCCAGTGCTTCTCAAACTTAAGTTGCACCTGGTTGGCTGCATCCCCTGGGAATGTTCCTGAATGCAGATTCTGATTCTGTCAGCCAGGCAGTGGCCGGGGGCTCTGTATTCCTAAGGAGCCAGTCAGGGGATGGAGATGCTGCTGGTGCACAGACCTCACTGAGCCTCATGGCTTTGGGGCTGATGAGAAGCCTGTTGCACCAGCGCAGCTTCTCCCTGATGAGCATGTTTTGCTTTTCAGAATGAAATGCTGGAGGAAGGACACGAGTATGCCGTCATGCTGTACACCTGGCGCAGCTGTTCCCGGGCCATCCCCCAGGTGAGACTGTCCTTCCCTAGGGGCTCTCCTGCCGCCAGGGGGCGCCGCCACCCTCCATCTCACTGCATTCAGGGAGCTGAGCTTCTCCAGGTGGCAGGGAGCAAAGTAATCCAAGGAGGCATGCTGAAAACCTTGAGAGAGTTTCCCATAAAACAGATGCCAACTTTTAAAAAATTGTTCAATATACTTTATTTGGAAAACAGTGTATGCTAATTGTACAACACCAAACCATTGTAGGAAGGTATAAAGTAAAAAGCAAGACATACCCACCTCCTCACGCCACCACCCAAACCCACCTCCCAACCGAGCATGATCGCTATGGACATGCGTTGCTGCCTGTTCCTCTGGATCTTTCTCGCTGTTATCCTGAATATTTCTATTATTATTATTTTGTAAATAATTATTTACAAAGTGTATGTTGCTTTTTTACTTATATAGTTCTGCCACTGGATTTTTTTACACTTTACTAGTATTTTTTAAACATATATTTTTATTGATTTCAGAGAGGAAGGGAGAGGGAGAGAGAGATAGAAATATCAAAGGTGAGGGAGAATCATTGATCAGCTGCCTTTAGCACACTCCCACTGGGGTCTACAACCTGTGCATATGCCTTGACCGGGAATCGAACCATGACCTTCTGGATCATAAATCGACACTCAACCACTGAGCCACGCCAACTGGGCTACATTTTATTATTTATCAATGACATTTTTTTCATGTTGACACATACAGATAATATGTGTGTGTGTGTGTCAACCAGCATTATAATTGAATTTCATGAATTGCATTTAATAAAATCCACGAGGCACAGATGTGTAAAGAGGAACAGTTCCTCACCCTTCATTTAATCTTAGTCCCCCAGGGTAACTACTTACTGACAGTTTGGTTTGCACCCTTTTGGATTTTCTATGCCTGAAGCATATATGAACAAACAAACAAACACATACTGTTTTGTTTTAACAAAAATGGGACTAAGTGACACTTCCTGTCACTAAGGGACACAGTCCTGTCACAGTTTTCACCTGTCAGTTTATGGTGGCATGCTGTCCATGTCAGGTGACATAGATCTGTCTCATTCCTTGTTACATAATGATATTGAATTGAGCGTATCTTATTTCATCCTTTTAATCACCTGGACATGGAGCTTGTTGCTTCTATTTTAAGAATCTCTAAACAACAGTGTGAAGAATGACCTTGAACTTACCCTTCTGTCACTCGTCAGTTTTGGCTGCTCTGTTAGCAGTCCCGGGTGTGCGTGCTGTGAAAACACCCACCACCCACCATGTGGTTGTGATGTGTTGAAAACCGTTGGGCAGAGCACACAGGTTTCTTGGTGGGCCTGAGTGTGACTAGGGGGAGGGGGAAAGAAGGAGTCTGCCCTGGGTGTATCCAGAGTAGTGGATGGAATATTTTTTTATCTGCCAGGAATCTGGCAGGGCCCCTTTGGTGTCAGAGTGAGGAAAGGCTGCAGGAGGGAGATAAATGTGGACATGTGTATAGCGACTGGTCACAGTACAGAAAAACTGAAGGGATGGACAGTTCTGTTCTTGGGACCAGTTGGTTTCTTACCTGCAGCCAGTGTCTGGGGAGCAGTGTCGCCCCCAGTCAGTCCCAGTAAACAGGGCTACCCCAGCCTCCTCTCACCAGGGTGACCTGGTCATTTATCATCCTGGACGAGGTGCATTCGAGGGTGAAAAGGGGGGCATTAATAAGTCAACAGGCATGCCCCGGGGCTGCCTGAGTGGATCAGGATGTCTGAGACCCCTCTGCCCACAGGTGAAATGCAACGAGCAGCCCAACCGGGTGGAGATATACGAGAAGACGGTGGAGGTGCTGGAGCCGGAGGTCACCAAGCTCATGAAGTTTATGTACTTCCAGGTGAGGGGTCAGTGAATCTGGATCAGGAGACTAGAGAAGGCCCCTGCCCTTCTACACACACGGGTCTGGGTTTTTGTGCCATGTTGCTTATTCATTCAGTCAATACGTTTTGGGTGCCCCTCACACATACCCCTGGTGAGCAAGACAGACAGTTGCCTCCCTTCCTGAAATTTCCATCCTAGTGAGCACAGGAGTGTGTTCTGGGCAGGAGGAGAGGCTGACAATAAACAATAAACAATTCTCGGGGCAACAATTCTCTGTGAGTGAATAACATTTTAAAAATCCTTGGGCTGCAGGGTGTCTGCAACGTGGGTGCAGCTTCAGGGACAGCCTCTCAGGAGGTGGCATGTGAACTGAGAAGGGCTGGTGGCATGTGTGATGAGAAGGGCTGGTGTGTAATGGTCCAAGGATGAGGGTTTCAGGCAGAAGGAACTGTGAAGGCCAAGCCCCTGAGGCCTGAAGGGGCCGGATGTGTTTAAGAAACAGAAGGAAGCCACGGAGACTGTAGGGTAGGAGAGGGAGGGATAAAAGGTGAGGCTGGAGCAGTAGCTAGGGACCCGCTCAGACAGGGAACTGCAGGGCATGAAGTAGGATGTGAAAGCAGTGTGCAGATTTTATTAAATCACCACAGAAACCACTGGAGGTTTCTAGTGACACGATCTGCCAGTATTTTTTCAAACACCTTCCCTATTTCTTTCTCCCTTTCTGTCTCTTCTGATATACCTATTATTCTAAAATTGTTGTGTTTCACATCGTCCCACAGCTCCCTTAAGATGACCTCCTGTTTTTTCATTGCTTTTTTTTTTCTTATTGGTTCTCTAATTGAATGATATTTTCAACTCCGTCTTCTAATTCACTGATTCTGTCCTCAGCTTCCCTATTGTGTATTTGAGTTATGTCATTCTTTATCTCAGACTCTTCTTTTTTCATAGTTACTATATCTTTTTTCATAATGTTGAGCATTTTTAACATCATTACTCTGAATTCTGTTTCAGATAAATTTCTTACCTCTGCTTCATTTATCTCTTCTTCTGGAGAATTCGCTAGTTCTTTCATTTGGGGGTTGTTTCTTTGTTTCCTCATTTTGGTTGTCTGTTTGGGTTTGTGACTATGTTTTAGGTAGATCTTCTATACCTCTCAATCTCTAGTGCAGGACAGTGTTAAAGGCTGTTTCTGGCTAATTGGATGAAGCAAAGACTCAAAGCATTCAGACACTGCCTTTGTCTAGACTAATAGGATTTCAACTTGAATTGCCCCCAGGCAGTCATCCTCACGTTTGTCAAGAGTTTTTTTCCATAGAGTGGGCAGTTGCTTCTACCTGGAAGCTAATTGTTACTTTTAATCTTTTAAGTGGCCTCAGGGCAAAGTGTTTTCCAATAGGGTGTGTCTACTGTCTTTCCCCCAGGCTAGGCAGATGTCTATGTGGGAAAGATGTCCTTTGCTGAGTGAGGGAATGACTCAGCCCAGGAAACTTGGGGTGTCTGCCTTCTGAGCTCTATCCCCCAAGTTCCCAGTCTTGGATTCTGCACTCACAGCTCCAGTCCACTTCACCCTCCCTCTGTTAGAGCACAAGGTGGTTAGCTCTACAGGGAATTTTTGTGCATTGGCCCTTTAAGAGGGCACCCGAACTTTCAGTTGCCACTTCCTGGCAGACAGCACCCCACTGCTTTTCACAGCTAGATGTTATGTGGGTACCCTCCTCAGTTTGGTGCTCCCTGCTTGGGGAGCCCAGCTTTGGGATTTGATCCCAGAGTTCTCAGTAGCACCCCTCTCCCCACTGTTGAGATATCCCTCCAGGACTTCAGTTTGCCATCTGTGGGTGTCTGGCCAGCCTTGCCCCTCCTACCAGTCTTTATGTTATCTCCTCCTTTAGTCCTTGGGTATCAGGATTCTCTCCTGTGAGTTTTCCCTAGTGACATGATCTGATTGGTGGTTTACAACATCCAGCTGCTCGGTGGGAAATGGAAGGGAGGTAGGGGCAGCACAGATGTGAGGGGTGGGAGGGGATAGGAGTGGCAGCAGGAAGACCAGTTGGGAAGCCAAGAAGATTGATCATTAAAGGAGAAAAAGAGGAAAAAGACAGTCAAGGGCTTTCATGAGGGCAAGCTAAATTAAAAAAAAACAAAAAAAAAAAAAACACAGAGGCAGCTGGTTAAACAAATAACCAAAGAAAAATAAGGCAAACAGGTTGATTATTATGCTCAGGTTGAAAGCTGCTCAGGAATGTAAAATTGAGCCCTTGAAGACCAGTCTGTACCCCAGGGTGGGGGTCATGCCATGTACTCTGCCCTGCACGTGCTCCACGGAGAGCTGAGACTCATAAACAGACTTACAGGCTCTGGCGGATGTCCACCCCTGCTCAGTCCAAGGCTCTGCCCCACACTCAGCCCCACACTCAGATCTGCATGGCCTGCTGGGCGAGAGATGGGGTGTCTGGGAAGGTGCGGATACCTGCAGCCCAGAGCAGGAACGCTGGCTCCGGAGGCAGGAGACCAAGACTGTGTGACTGTGCCTGTGAGTGACTTAGCATATCTGACGCCTTTAGTTTTCACACCTTGGAAATAATACCTATTTCACAGGCTTGTGGCAGGGATAAAAGAGGCCTATTGTAAACAGCCGTGTAGAGACCTAGTTACCCAGTAGGGTTAACACATGAAAGCTGCTCTTAATAGCATCATGGACTCTTTAGGAAGGCAGGTCCAAGAGAGAAAAACTATACAGAAACTGAGAAAGGATGACCTGGGATGGGATCGCCCGGAGCTACGCTGTTCCGTACAGTAGCCCCGTGTAGGTATTTACATTAATTAAAGTTAAATAAAATGTAAAATTCAGCTCCTTCATTGCCCGAACCACCAAGTGCTCAGTGGCCACATGTGGTGAGTGGATCTCGTATTAGAGGTTGTAGACACAGGACGTTTCCACCATCATAGAAAGTGCTCTTGGACTTAGACTCTGGAAGGAGAAGGCGTGGCCAGTCTGTCTTCATGGGCGAGGATTACAGGTGGATATCCCGGCCTGAGGAGGGGAGAGCACACACAGGGAATCATTTCTCTCCCTCATCTCCTCCTCTTTTCCCCCTTCCTCTCTCTGGGTTACTCTTTAGCCTTGTTTTTGGATTGTTATTCAACTGCATTTTTTTTTTTGTAACAGATTTATTGAGAAATAATTCACATACCATGTAATGCATCCATTTAAAGTGGACAATTCAATGATTTTTAGTACATTCACAGGGTTGTGTGTTCATTACCAGGGTCAATTTGTAACATCTTCATCACCCCAAAAAGAAATCCCATTCCCTATTGCTATCACCCCATTACACCCCCATCTACCACAGCTCTGGCAAGCGTCCTCCCTCCCCACCCTCAATCCCCTTTATTTTCTTCATAACACATATCACACTGTCATGTACGGAAGTAGCTTGTTTTGTTGTCTGTCTTCCCTCACTAAAATGTAAGCTCCGTAGGGTAGAGATTTGTTTTGTTTTGGTTTTCATTCCTTCTTTACCGCGGTGCCTAGAATGGTGCCTCGTGCATAGGAGATGCTCAATGAGAACTATTTATTGGATGAATGAGCCTCTTTCTCTGAATCTCTGCCCCCTTGTCGAGTGGTGCCTGGCCCTATCCTAGGCGCTGGAATACAAAAGTGGATAACACAGTGCTTCTCTGCAGAGGCCTGAGAATAAGTGCGTGGGGTCAGCTCACTGGGGCAGTGTGTTCCCTTGAGAAATCAGCTTTGAATGCAGGGACTGCTCCGAGGAAGAATCCTCTTGGCGGGTTTGCCTTTAAATATCCAGACTCTGACCAGGGAGGGCCCCAGGGGAGCCTTGGCCCTGCTCCCCACCTGAGAGCTCAGGGAGCCCCCCCACCTCTGCTGCCTGTCCTCACCTGCCGCCCCCTCCCCGCCTGCAGCGCAAGGCCATCGAGCGGTTCTGCAGCGAGGTGAAGCGGCTGTGCCACGCCGAGCGGAGGAAGGACTTCGTCTCCGAGGCCTACCTCCTGACGCTGGGCAAGTTCATCAACATGTTCGCCGTCCTGGACGAGCTGAAGAACATGAAGTGCAGCGTCAAGAACGACCACTCTGCCTACAAGAGGTCAGCCTCCCCCGCCCCCCACGTCCTGGGGAGCCTGACGAGGGGAGGGAGAGGATGGAGCCTGTCTCACAGGCCCCTTCTCCAGAGCCAAACGAGCGACTCCCGCCCCAGGCACACAGTGGCTGGGCCAGCCTCGTTTGTGTGGTTTGAGGAGAAAGGTACAGGGCTGGGGCCTGGGGGACCTGGGTCTGGGCAGGGCTTTCTGTCTCAAGATGGAATCGGATGCTCATTTCTCCACCTGCGGAGCCGCAGCGACCTCTCTTGCCCCTTGTGGTGCAGGGCCAGAGAGATCATCGCGAAGCGGTCACCCTGTCATTCCTGTAAGAATGAAAAAGCCAGTTCGCAACAAGCAGGCAGTGCCCTGGGGTGGCCTCCGGCAGCTTTAACCCCATCTCTCTCCCCCGCCCCCCACCTCGGGCCAGCATAGCCACCCAGCTTCAAGGGAAGAAAAGGATGCTTCTCTTTGCATATATAATTTTGCAGAAGTCCCAGCCTGGTCGTGTGCCAGGTTCCTCATCAGCCATTGCGTGGGTGGGGGCTCTGATTGGACTGGGTGGGAGGTCAATGTCAGCGCAAGAGAAGGACAGAGAACGGGGAAGGGCTCGTTCCTCTCTAGAAATTAAGGTACAGCCACCCCAAAGTGGGCAGGGCGGGAGGGTGAGTCAGAAGCAGCAGACTTCCCCTGTGTGGTCCAGACACATCTCTTGGGAAGGCTTTTCTGTGTCTAAGGAAAGACCTTGAAACACGTCATCCCAGGGCGCCTAAGTCACGGGCGAAAGCAGACAACAGACCGATTCCCAACATGCTGTCCTCCTGAGTGAGATGTGACAGAACCCTGGGGGTGCCCGGCAGGCAGAGCCCCTCACAAGCCTGGCTCAGAGGTGGCACCTTTCACAAAGGTTCCAGGTTAGGCCAGAAGGGTCTGGGCAGCCACAATTTTTCCCTTCACGTCCTTGCATGCATCCCCCGCATCCATCATCCCTTTGCTCTCAACCCCAGCAGGTTAAACAGACTGCGTTCTAGTCAGTGCTTTGCTTTAGAACCATGAGGATTTTCCAATAAAGAACACCACACAGAACAAAAACAAAGCATCCTGCCCCTGGCCCTGCCCTGTGGCGGGCTGTGCAGGTCCCCTGGAGGTCACTGCAGGGCCAGGGATGCTCGTTTCAGTCTGTCTGACCGCTACAGCTGGTGGATAGGATGCTAGCTGCCCTTCAATTTGGAGTTTGAGCCTCAGTGCATTCTTGCCTCTTATTCTCAGGTGCCCTTATCAGAAGGGTGTAAACAACTCCATATGGGCCCAGGACATACTCTCCATTGACTTTTGTCACCTGTGATGTCAGAGCTGGTTAAGCTCGGGAGCAGTGTCACTGGGGTCAGCTGGGAGGCGGAGCCTGAGAGGCCTGGTTAGGCTGGCTCCTTGAGTGTTCCTCTCTGTGACCCCATCTTTCAGGGCGGCACAGTTCCTGAGGAAGATGGCGGACCCCCAGTCCATCCAGGAGTCACAGAACCTCTCCATGTTCCTAGCCAACCACAACAGGATCACCCAGGTGACGGCAAACTCAAATTAGTCTGGGCCTGGCATCCTGGGACACAGGCAGGGGCCTGGAGGGCGGGTGGACCGTGAGCAGAGCAGCTGGGTCCAGATCAAACACCTTCGTTGCCCGGCTCCAGAGTTAGACTTTGAATGAAGTTTCCCTTCCCAGACAGTCCTTCCACCCTCTCCAAGTTTGGTTCCCTGAAAACCTTCTCAGCCATTATCCTGCCCCACATTAGTGCAGGTTGAGAGCATGGGTTCTGGAGTTCAACAGCCTTGTTTTCTAAACATAGACCCTTCATGACCCATCATGAGACCTTGGGCAAGGTCTAAGCCTCAGTTTTCTCATCTGTAAAATGGGCCTGAGATTTTGAGAATGTTATGGGAATCCATGTGATAGGATTATTGTGAGCAATACATGAGATACTGTACAAAAAGCCCTCCGTATGCAGAGCCTGACAGATAGCAAGGGCATAAGAAGATGGACCTGTTATGACTGCCACCGCTTGGCCAGGCCACCCCCGGTGGGCTGTGGCCCTGTCTAACGTAACCTGTCTTGCTCATCCGCCAGTTCAGCCTAAACAGGCACCAGGAAAATGTCGGCAGGACTCAGGCTGAATGGGGCCCTCCATCTTCGAAGGGTTTGGAGGCTCAGCTCCCCCTCAGGGATGCTGCTAGCTTCGCTAGGCCCTCCCTACTCCTATTAAATGCAGAAGGCTATCAACTTAGAGGCTCTGGGTTTCTTTCCTGGGATGCCGTCCCATGTTGTCAGACCCTTCTCTTGGGAGATGCCAGGAGGGGGACTGCTGCTGGCCCAGCTCTCCCACCTGGGCTAGGCCATCCCCCATCATCCCAGGAGATGCCATGGCTAAGTCCACAGTCTCAAAACCAAACTGGGAAGACGAACAGGCCTTCCGCGATAAAGCTGAGCTGCTTTTCAATTCAGCCCAATAATACTTTTTTTATTATTATTAAATTTTTTTTATTAATTAAGGTATCACATATTTGTCCTCAATCTCCCATTCCAATCCCCCACTACCCCCCATTCATGCCCCCACCCCCCCTATTGTCCTTGACCACTGGTTAGGCTCATATGTGTGCACATAAATCCTTTGGTTCATCTCTCCCTTTTATCCCCACCCTGCCTTTGAGGTCCAACAGTCTGACCCATGGCTTATCTTATCTTTGAGTCTGTTCTTGTTCATCCGTCTATGTTGTTCACCATTTCCCCTAGATGAGTGAGATCATGTCCTACTGGAAATATACTTATAAGAATCACAAATGAGACAAGCAATAATCATTATGCTGAAAGGCTAATATACTTTTTAACATCAAAACTGGCAGGGATAAAATGGAGGGCCCCAGGGGAATGAGCTCCCTGCCTGGGGAGAAGCACAGGAGCTCAGACCAGCCGCTGCGGGGACATTAAGAGGATGCAGGCTTCCTCCCCCTAGTGGTCAGCTAGTGTGTGTGTCGGGGGGGGGGGGGGGGGGGGCGGGAGGAGGCCTATTCACATGGTGTGGAAGTGGGTGCAGCAGCAGAAAAGGAACTGACCAGAGGGGGGCGCTGCTGTTTAGTGTCTCCATCAGCAACTGGAAGTGATCCCAGGCTACGAGGAGCTGCTGGCGGACATTGTCAACATCTGCGTGGATTACTACGAGAACAAGATGTATCTGACCCCCAGCGAGAAGCACATGCTCCTCAAGGTACCATCGCTGTGGCCGCGCACCCAGTGGTCTGGGCATGCCCTCACACTTCCTTACTTTAAATCATTTTTTAAAAGACGGTATATATATTTTTTCTTACTTAAACATGGGTATAGATCTCACTGCACATAATATTTTGTAACCTGTTTTCTCCCCTGTAACGTGTCATCTACACCTTTCCCGATGTTAAGGATATTTCCGCAATGTTATTTTTAGTGGCTGCTAAGTGTGCTGTTCTGTGGAGATAGTGGTAGTTAACCAATCCCCTCTCGTTGGATGTTCGTTTGCTAAACTGCATTGAACACTCGTATAGCACAGCCTTTGTGTACAAGCCCTTGTCCCGTCAGACTCCTAGGAGGAGAAGTGACCAACTCAAAAGGAAGGCGAAGTCTTCAAGCATTTGCTCTGTTTTGTCCAAATCGTCACTTTTGATCCATCCGTTTACAAGTCTGATTTTCAAATTATCAAGTAAGATTGATCATTGTAGAAAAATCTGAATCATACAGAGAAGCACAAAAAATATTAATCTCTCACAGTCTTTCTATCGAGAGGTAACACTGTTAGCATTTTAATGTATTTCTTTCTCATTTTCCTAGGCTTATATATTTTCAACAAATGCGGTATTCGTAAATGATGCCTAGGTCAGCTTTATCCCTTTTCATTAAATGTGTTGGAATATTAATGCCATCGTACGGATGAGCTTCCTTTTTTTTAGTTACGTTATTGTTAGCTGCTCAGGACGTTCCTAATTTCTCTCTGACAGCTGTCGCACTGACATGAGCAGCCTCCACGTTCTTTTTACACACGGCATAGTCCCCTTGATTCTTCCTTTGAATCCAGTGGCCTTGCTTTTTCCTCCTCTCCTCCTTGTCACTCATGCTAGTCCACTGGTCGGCAAGCCGCAGCTCTCGGGCCACATGTGGCTCTTTGGCCCCTTGAGTGTGGCTCTTCCACAAAATAGCACGGCCTGGGCGAGTCTATTTTGAAGAAGTGGCGTTAGAAGAAGTTTAAGTTTGAAAAATTTGGCTCTCAAAAGAAATTTCAGTGGTTGTACTGTTGATATTTGGCTCTGTTGACTGATGAGTTTGCCGACCACTTTTCTAGTCTAAACATCCCAGGCCTGTTGATGTGCCCTTCCTTACATTTCTGTGGCATCTGGATGGAGTCTGCAGGGCAGCGTGGCATTGTGTTTTGTTCACTCTGGCTTCCTCTGTACAGTCAGACTTTTTTGTTTTTAACTTCTCCATCAGATGTGATAGGCTTCTGTGCTCTGCCCCTTCTCTCTCCAGGTGATGGGTTTTGGTCTCTACCTGATGGATGGAAATGTCAGTAACATCTACAAGCTGGACGCCAAGAAGAGAATCAACCTCAGTAAAATCGATAAGTTCTTTAAGGTCAGCACTTGCGGCTGGGGCTGGGCAGGGGCCAAGGGGCTGCCTCTCGGGGGAAAGAAATGAAATTAACCAGCACGCAGCGAGGCTTGTTGGTTGGGTCGCAGCCCTAAAGACCCCCGGAGGAGGAAGAGGATAGAATGGCAGGTCCTCCAGCTGCCTTTGGTAGACGAATCTACACTAGAAGGCAGCCCCTTACAAGTCACGCCTGGCCAAGTCTGAGGATTCAGCTGGGATTCGGCTGGGTCCAATGTACATACTGCTTTTTCCTTTCCCCAAACTCCCCTGCTACATAAGCAAAGAGGCACTGAGCAGGAGACAGCGACTACTTTACTTTTCAGTATAATCTGAACTCGCAGGAGCAGAAGGGCTAGACTGCATTTTAAACTGATTGACAGTTGCAAAGTCACAGCCTCTCTACTGGCCCAGCAGAGGCCACGTTGGCCGGCCTTGCCCCTGGACAGCTTCCCTCATACACTCAGTCCGCTCCAGGGCCCCAGGGATTACATCCTCTCACCCCAAATCTTTACAAATAAAACACTGTGGTTAAGCTAAGCCGTTGAGGTTTCCGCAAAAGGATTCCCCACTTTGGAGAGGAATTCCATGTTGTCAGTTGATGCCAGTGTTGGGCACTGCAGGCATGGGGTGGAGCCTTGGAGGTCAGACCTGGCAAAGCCAGTTACCATTCAGGCTTTGCAGGTGTGACATGGGGGACACCAGGCTGGGCCTGGGTCCCACCGACTCTTTGAGGTGAAGGGGAAATAAATCGCCAGCAGGCTTCTTTGCGAGACTGGAACTTTCACTTTCTCTGCAGCCACCCCCAATGGAAGCAGGGCTCATCTCGGGGGACCTGTGCAAAATGTGCCTCTGCCTTCATCAGGGTGATGACATGGGGCGGAGGGAAGAACAGGGCATCGCCTCTGACAGGCCAGGTTTCCTATGACTCTGCCACTTAGGAGATGGGCGACTTTGGGAAAGTCTTGAAACCTGAGACTGAGTTCCCAGCCTCCCATGAATACCGAGGGGGGCTGGGTTAGAGGGTTCCCTTGGAGGTTCATTGGGCTGGCGTAGGTGAGTCGGCACCCTGGCTCATAGTCCTGGCTCCTTGACCTCTCGCTGGTTTGAATTTGTAAAAAAAAAAAAAAAAAATCACTCTTGCTATCTGAGCTTCCTTTACTACATCTCTGAAATGGGAATGAATAGTACTGGTCTCACAGGGTTATTGTATGGCTTGAGATACTATTTTTTTGTTTTGTTTAAAAGACTTTAATTTTTAAGGGCAGTTTTAGGTTCACAGCAAAATTGAGCACAAAGCATGAAGATTTCTTTCTACCTCCTGCCCTCTCTTACCCTCCCCACTCATGGACAGCCTCTTCCATTATCAATACCCCCACCAGAGTGCTGCGTTTGTTATAGCTGATGCACCTACATTGACCATCATTGTCATCCTGCAGCCAGTTTACATTAGGGATCACTCTTGACATCGTCCATTCTATGGGTTTTGACAAACACAGAATGATATGTATCTGCACTCTGGTGTCGTACAGAGTAGTTATTCTGCCCTAAAACCCTTTGGTTTTGAAGGGGTTGGCAACGTGCCCAGACATCAGAAGCAGACAGTAAATGCCAGCCTCCCCTCCGTTTGTCCTGGTTTTCAGATGGGACTTGTCTGCCCTCTGGTGGTAGATGCTATGATTTCAGTTAACCTTACACTGGTGTTCCTCAGAAACACTACGCCTAGCCAGTGGCATCCAGGCAAACACTCCTAGCCCAGAGCTACACGCAGCAGGATCATCCCATCTGAGGGAAATCAGAGCAGAAAGGACCCTGCCCTGAGAGGCAGGCCATCTGGGCCTCATCCTTCACTCGGTCTGCCTACTGGGTGACCTTGGATAAGTCACTCTGCCTCTCTGGGCTGAGTTGCTGGGTCATACGGTTGGTTGTAGGCAGGGGACCTGTCTGCTGGCTGGGGCTCTTTTTGGCTCCAGGCTCACGTGGAAGCAGCATCATAAGCAGGAGCGAGGGCTCAGCCCAAAGGCTCCCAGAGGGAGGCTGCCTCCCCTGGTGGAAGGCAGCCCCTGGTCCCCCCTTGGCGTCTCACGCGCTGTGTTTGCTTCCTTTGCAGCAGCTGCAGGTGGTGCCCCTATTCGGCGACATGCAGATAGAGCTGGCCAGATACATTAAGACCAGTGCTCACTATGAAGAGAACAAGTCCAAGTGAGTGCCTGCCGTAATGTCTCTCGGCTCCCGCGAGGTGCCCAGCCCGGGCAGGGGGCCGAGGGGCCACTTCAGCCCCTCCTCCCTCCCCAGAGCCCTGGGCAGGTGGACTCCAGAGGGGAGCGGTGGAAGGTGCTCTGAGCCCTTTTGGATCCACCCTTTGCTTCTGGGGTTCAAAAGCGCTCAGTGCACAGCCACGCCCCTTCTCTGTCCCTGCTGCACTGGGACAGCAGGAGTCTTCTTTCCTTGAGAAGCAAGGTGACGTCATTCTCTCTCACCCCAATTTCCTCCTCAGGTTCGGTGTCCATGCGGTAAGTATACCATAGCAGTATGGTTTGGACAGTTCAGCCATGTGGACTTGTTGATGGCCTCGCCTTAGGTCGTTCTATAAACCACCATCCTTGGGAATCCACGCCAAGATCTGGGGTCTGGGGTGTCAGTGCCACATGGGAGTAGGGACACCCAGCTGTAGGCTTTATCTCTGGGATTGTTAAGAGGTTTCTTCTGCCTGCGTTTCATTCCAAAACTGGGTGGTTTTGACCTTCCCATATGGGGGGTGGGGACGGGTGAAGGAGGGATGGCTGCCCTTTAGTCAGGGCTGAGACCTTAAAACTGCCAGCCTAGAGCCCAAGGAAAGCTCCAGAATGCTGCGCTCATTTCCTCACGTTTCTGCCTCCGGAAGTTGGTTGGGAACGGTGATGTGGCCAGGGTGGGGCGGCAGCAGTCAGAGTGGTTGTGTCCCCATCCCTGTGCTGCTGACCCAAAATAAAACCAGCAGGAAGAAGCCTCTCGCCGTCCAGAACGTTCTGTGAGGGCTGCTTCAGGGCTCCCTTTGAAATACCAAATTCTTCCCTCCCTCCCCCAAGTATGTTTTTACTGATTTCAGAGAGAAGGGAAAGGGAGAGAGAGAGAGAAACATCAGTGATGAAAGAGAAGCATCGATTGGCTGCCTCCTGCAGGCCCCCCTCCCCCGCACTGGGAATCGAACCCACTACCTGGGCATGTGCCCTGACCAGGATCAAACTGTGACCTCCTGGTTCGTCGGTCAGTGCTCAACCAACTGAGCCACCCTGGACTGGGCTGAAATATTAAATTCTTGCCAAAACGTTTATCTGCCTTTTTTGGTGACGGTGCTTTTAATCTGTCTGCCAGGTCACCCAGCACTAGAGGGCAAAGGGGGCTGTCTTTGTTCTCTTGGAGGAGAGTGAAGATTCTCATTCATTCATTTCCTCTCCAATTTAGGATGATTCCCCCAGTGATAAGTTTAAAAAATAATAGTTGAGGAGAAAGAAGACAAGGATGAGGAGAGGGAGGGAGGGGGAGAGAGAGAGAATGAATGACCATGGCCTTCCTTACCACGAAGTGCTTGCTTGCATGTTCCTGGGTCACTGTTGAAAAGGGAAAAGGCCCGTTAGGTTTCCTTAGTCCTTCCTCGTAGGCTCTTCCTAAACCGGCTTCAACCTCAGGATGTATGAGTCAGTAGACAGGCTTGGGGAGGTCGCCCACCTTGCTTTTTTCTTGCGTGGATTCCAGCAAGAAATTTGTAGCCCTCAAGAGGCTGCAGTTCCCTTCCCCCTCATGTAACTGGTAAGTATGTGGACACCAGGTATCTGGAAAGCCTGTGACTGGGTTCTAGAAGAGGAGGAAGGACCGGTTTGCTCAGCCTGTGACCCCCACGATGTGGGATGAACAGGCTGTCTTGCTCCTGTCTGGGTTACCTCTTGGTTCTGCCCAGGGGAGCCAGCCACCTTGGCCAGGCACCAGGAGCAACATGTAAGTGGAAGGAGCCTGTCCCGCCAGGCACTTGAGACCAGGACCTGCTCCGACCCTGTGATTCTCTGCCCAGGTGGACCTGCACCCAGAGCAGCATCAGCCCCCAGTACAATATCTGCGAGCAGATGGTTCAGATCCGAGATGACCACATCCGCTTCATCTCCGAACTTGCTCGCTACAGCAACAGTGAGGTGAGCTCTCATTCCAGTGGCTGGGATGGAGGCCAGGGTGAGAAGGGTGAGCACAGAAATGACCACAGAGATGATGGAGAGCAGGAGTAAGGGAATACCCGTTAGAGGCAGGAGGGCAGCATGGATCTTAGAGACACACAGAACTGGGTGTGAGTCTGGTTCTGCTGCTGACCATCACGAGTTATTCAGTATCTCTACCTCCATTTCCTCCTCTGCAGAATGAGGGTAATAGCATCCAGAAAGTTTCATTGAGAGGATTAAACTCTCTGATGCACGAAAAACACATGGTGCCCAGCAGAGTAATTGGGAATTGTTAGAACGTGTTCCAAACCAACCCGCCCAAGATAGCAAGAGAAAGAATTCTAAACACGCCTGCTTATAACACCATCTAAATATTTCTAAATTACACAATAATGATATCATTAAACACCAGAAACTACAATTAGGGACAGACAAATGCTCAAACCTCAGAAAAAAAAAATAGAGATATGCAGAAGGAGGTGAAATCAGTCATTTAAGATCCTACCACCCAGAACTGACTATGATTAATAAATATTTGAGTGAATATACACTCCTGAATCTCTTCCCACTAAATTCTTCCAATAAGTGTATATGTTGGCTGAGTAGCACAGGTACTCTGATTTGAGTTCCTTTGTTACCTGGAGCGCTTGGATGGATGACTGCACTGTCCCATGTTTGCTCACGGATTACAGCAGGTGGCTGGGAGCTATAGTGCCCATGCTTTCCAAACCCAAACTCAGACACGCCTTGTATCGAAGATGCAATGTATTTGAAATTAGGACAGTCAGACCGATGCGGACATTGTGGTCTTTAGCCAGTGGACGTGGACCAGGGACAAGTGCAAACTCTTTGACTTTATTTTTTTTTTTAATATATTTTTATTGATTTCAGAGAAGAAGGAAGAGGGAGAGAGAGGGATAGAAACATCCGTGATGAGAGAGAATCATGGATCAGCTGCCTCCTGCAAGTCTCCCACTGGGGATCAAGCCCACCACCCAGGCATGTATCCTTGACTGGAATAGAATATGAGATTTTTCAGTTCACAGACCGATGTTCTATCCATTGAGCCAAACCACTAGGGCCTCTTTGACTTTCTTTTTTTTCTTTTTTCTTTTTCTTTTTTTTAAATATATTTTATTGATTTTTTTTTTTACAGAAAGGAAGGGAGAGAGATAGAGAGCTAGAAACCGATGAGAGAGAAACATCGACCAGCTGCCTCTTGCACACCCGCTACTGGGGATGTACCCGCAACCAAGGTACATGCCCTTGACCGGAATCGAACCTGGGACCTTTCAGTCCGCAGACCGACGCTCTAACACTGAGCCAAACTGGTTTCGGCCTCTTTGACTTTCTTAACTCTATGTGCCAGTCAGCTGAACTAAGGCTGTGGCTTGACTTTAAGGGCAGGGGTCTCCTTTATTCCTTGTGAAGTTTTGGTTGTGGTCTGAGAATGAGTCTGGCTCAACGTTATTTTTAAATCATACACTTATACATGTGTATATGCAGAGCATTCTCTTTATTTTCAATAATGTTCTGTGAAGTGGCCCTGAACACTGAATTGGCCAATACTGAACCATTGCTCCCCTGGGGGAATACAGGGTTAGGTTCCTACGAGGCTCTGGTCACAACCCGGTCAGCATCCGATCAATGCATAACCTTGTGCTTTTCTGATGGAAGTCATCTTGTGGAATAGACGTTGTTGTTTCTTGAACATGAGCTCACTCAGCAGGACACTGTCCGAGCCTCACTTGATCTATGAAGGGGATGTCTTGAGGCACCCCCGTGGAGCAATCTTGAGGGAATCAGTGAAGTAAAATGCATTCAAGTGCCAGGCACGTGGATGGTGGGGGTGACGGCTCATGCTCCCCAGGTGGTGACGGGCTCGGGGCTGGACAGCCAGAAGTCGGACGAGGAGTATCGCGAGCTCTTTGACCTGGCCCTGCGGGGCCTGCAGCTCTTATCCAAGTGGAGCGCCCACGTCATGGAGGTGGTAGGTGCCCCAGGCGGAGCTGCCCCTCCCCAGCCCCCTTTCACCGACCTCCCCGCAAGCACCCTTTGTACAGCAGCTTTACTGAGATACAATTCACATGCCAGGCCACTCACCCTTTTAAAATGGAGATTCCCTGGCTTTCAGTATACTTAGAGTGGTGCAATCACACATTTAGAACATTTTCATCTCTGCAAAAATTCAATTGTACACCCTCCCTCCCCCAATGCCCCGTCTCCCCTGCCCCAATCTACTTTCTGTCTCCATCGATTTTCCAATTCTGGGTGTTTCCTAAAGTGCAGTCCTATGTTGTGTGGTCTTTTGTGGCTGGCCTCTTTTACATCGTATGGTTTCAAGGTCCATCCGTGCCGTAGGATGAGTCAGTACTTTATTCCCTTCAGTGGCTGAATGGTCTCCCAGGGCTTGGGCACGCCTCCTTTTTTCTGTCGATTGCTCTGCTGATGGGCATTGGGTTATTCCCACCCCCAGTACTCCTGGAAGCTGGTTCACCCCACCGACAAGTTCTGTAACAAGGACTGCCCGGGCACGGCGGAGGAGTATGAAAGAGCCACGCGTTACAACTACACCAGCGAGGAGAAGTTCGCCTTCGTGGAGGTGGGTGCCAACCTCCCAGCGTCTTGTCTCGGGTCTCCTCCATCCCCAAGGCTGCTGCTCAGGGTCCCGCAGTGGGAGGGAGTGGTTTCCAGCTAGATGACAGCCTTGGTCCCTTCCTGTGCCTGTACTTACCCGTCCCCTTCCTGACCCTCCCCCCATTCATCTCTGTCAGGTTAGTCACAAACTATTAGAAACTCATTCTATTCTTAAAAAAATCCAAAGGAAAGTGTTCACTCCACTAGAAAAATGGGCAAAAGAAACCAGCAGCAGAAACAGACCAACCAAAAAACATGGCTGAAAGAGCTCAGAGAAATGCCCAAACCAGTGAGTGTTCAGAGAACTGCAGATTGAAACTAAGATGGGATAGGTTTGTGGACCAGTCAGGATGGTAAGGACATGGAAGGCTGGTGATGCCTGTGGCTGAAGCGTGGGAAATAAACCTTCTCAGAGACTGGGTAGTCCATCTGCATTTCACAGTCTTCCTATGAGGGCAGACTGAGCAGTTGTACCCAAATGTTTAATGTGCATACCCTTTGGCCCAGAAGGTTCTAGAAATATATCCCAGGGAATTAAGCCAATTAGTCACAGTATCTTACATAATAAAGCAGTAATATGCAAATTGACCTTCACACCCTCGCATGAGATGGCCGCCCCCATGTGCTCAAAGGTGGCCACCACAAGGTGGCTAGCAGGGGAGGGTAGTTGTGGACAATCAGGCCGGCAGGGGAGGACAGTTAGAGGCTACTGGTCCATTAAGGGAGAGAAGTTGGGGGCAATCGGGCCGTCAGGGGAGCAGTTAGGCATCAATCAGGCTGGCAAGGAAATGATTAGGGGTAATTAGGCTAGCACACAGTAACAGTTAGGGGCAACCAGGCAAGCAGGCAGGTGAGCAGTTGTGAGCCAGCAGTCCTGGATTGTGAGGGATGTCCAATTGCCAGTTTAGGCCCACATAGGCCCACATGTATCAGGCCTAAACTGGCAGTTGGACATCCCCAAGAGGTCCCAGATTGGAGATGGTGCAAGCTGGGCTGAGGGACATCCTCCCACCAGTGCATGAATTTCATGCACCGGGCCTCTAGTTTGTAATACTAAAATATGTGAAACAACTGAAATGTCCTCAGCATGGGACCAGGTAAAATAAATGAAAGTACTGCTATGTCATCAAAAACTGTGTGGCCCCTAAGATGGTTGTACTGATGTGGAAAGATATGCACATTATATTGTTGAGTTTAAAATAAACAGGTTAAAGAACAGCATGTATAAATTGACCCCATTTAGAGTAAAAGTGATATACTTTTGGATATTTCCTCAAAACTGAAAGACCTAGGTGAGTATTTATATTGATAGTGGTAATATCTGGAGGGGAGACTCTTCTTTCCTGGTTTATAACCTTCTAATTTGTGTTTTGTTTGTTTCATTGCAAAAAGATATTTCTGTGGGAGGGGAGGGGGCTCATTCACACTAATGAGTGACAGCTACCTCTTTCATGACCATCTGAAGTCTATAAGTCCTGGATCCTAGCCCTGGGCCCAAAGTCACTTCATCTCTTGGAGCCTCAACTTCCTCATCTGTAAAATGGAGCCGACCGTCTACGGCTCATCCCAGGGTTATTCTTCAGAACCAAACAATAGCTGTCAAAGGGGGTGATGATGATGAGCTATGAAAGTTGGAAAGGGTCAGAGCACCAGGAGTTCGGGTTGCTCTTTTGCACATCTCCAGACTGCACCTCAAAGGACTGGGGTTCGGGGATGTGATTATCATCACACTTGGCCTGGAGCTGAGTGCTCCCCGGACCTCCTGGCACTTCTATTCCGAATGGGTGTGATAAGTGTGGTGTTGTCATGAGGCTGATGAGGCACATGCTTGCTTCTCTGAATTCTGAACAAATCTAGGAATTAGCACTTGAGGCTAACGGGGGTGACGGGGAGAGGGGTGGGTGTTAAGGATTAGGTTTGTTGCTGGTAAAGCTGGACCAGAGATTGTGCCTTCCACCCAAGGTCACACCAGACCCTATTTCTCCCCCAGCCCATTAAACTTACCCACTGGGAAACAGGCCAAGCAGCTACAGAAATACATATTCCCTTCCTCCGGCAGGGAGGGGATAATTCAGGGAAGACAGGAGCCCAGGGCAGAAGACACTCGCCCTGGAGACAGGCAGATCCCAAGAGAGAGCACCAAGGGCTACATTCATCACAGACACCAGTCTCCCACGTCTGCAGGCGGATTAGTGAGTTAAAGGGCTGTGGAGGAGGCATCTAGAGGGCCAGAGATTCTCCTCCCCCCTTCCCAAAGTCTTATACAGGAACCCTATTTTATGGGCGTAAGCAGCAGCTAGCCAAATTAATTCAAAAGCAAAGATTGTAAAAATGCTTTTAAAATGTGTATGGTAAAAAAAAAAAAAAAAAAAGTCCTATTTGCTATGGCCTGTGGGTGCATGCTGTGTGGAGAGGCCACAGAAGTCAGAGTGGTACTCAAAATGTGGTCCCCGGACCAGCTGCCATTTGTCACCCGTCGCATCAAGATAGGGAGCCAGTGCCGGAATGAAAATCGGCAGCGACATCTTTGCTTGGCAGCAGGGCTTTCCTGGTGGAGGGGCAGGGTGCTGGTTTCCGTCCCGGCGCTCGCTTCTTGCCTAGCCATGGATCGGCACTCGAGGCAGCACTGGCTGGCCTCGTGCTTCTGGGCATCTCAGTGCCCTCTCCTCAATGCGGTGAAGGGTACCGGACGGGAAGCCTGACCCCGGTCTGTGCCCGGCAGGTGATCGCCATGATCAAAGGCCTGCAGGTGCTCATGGGCAGGATGGAGAGCGTCTTCAACCAGGCCATCCGGAACACCATCTACGCGGCCCTGCAGGACTTCGCCCAGGTGACGCTGCGCGAGCCCCTGCGGCAGGCGGTGCGGAAGAAGAAGAACGTGCTGATCAGGTGGGTCTCCCCGGGGCCCTTTTCCGGGGCCACATCAGGGGTGCGAGGTACAGAGCACAGAGGAAGGTCCCTCCCTGCTCAGTCCGTTTCCGGGGCAGCCTCTGAACACACAGACCCTGCCAGCAGGTTTCAGGAAACCTCAGGAGATTGGATATTTGAGATAAGTGACCCTCAGTCTCTGGGTTGGAAGCCCATCTCCACTGCTGTCTAGTTATGTGAACCTCGTCCAGGTACTTAGCTTCTCTGAACCCCACTTTCCCTCATTTGTAAAATGTGGATGATAATGGTTCTTGCTCATAGTGTTGGGATGATAAAAATGGATAATCCACAGGTAGGCCTGAGCACAAAGCCACGTGGAATAAGTGTGCAATGAATATAAGCTATTATTAAAGCTTTAAATAATCAGAGATTTAATGGGACTAATGTGGCTCTCCTATAACCAAAAACAGAAACAGCCGTCCTGTCTCACTCGAGTTCTTTGCCCCTGCACAGGCTCAGAGCTGAGGTCTCAGGTAGCCTTGGCATTGAAACCACCTGGGTGCCTGTAGCATGCAGACACTGGACTGCACCTGAAACCTGTTACACCAGCATCTCAGGGGTGGGGCCCAGGATGAGCACCTTTGACAAGCACTCAAGGAATTCTGGGAAAGTGGCCCTGGGGCACCACAGACCCTAGAAACAAGCTTGCAGTGTTTCCCTCTTCCTGATGCTTAAACCATGTCTGAGCCTCCATCCTTCCTTCCCAGTGTCCTGCAGGCAATTCGGAAAACCATCTGTGACTGGGAGGGCGGCCGAGAGCCCCCCAATGACCCATGCCTGAGAGGGGAGAAGGATCCCAAAGGTGGATTTGACATCAAAGTGCCCCGGCGTGCTGTGGGGCCATCCAGCACACAGGTAAGCGGCTCTGGGCACAAGCCAGCTCTGCCATCTCAGGCTAGCCAGGCCCTGATAGGTCATTCTGGCTGGACCATAGAGCACTGGGGCTGGGGGTCCTCGGGCAGGAGGGGCATGGTGAGTCGTATTCTACCGTCTTGTTTTGATATAGGAGGGAGGACCACTGGCTTAAGATTCAGGAGACCTGGATTCTCGTCCTAGATACCTGTGTGACCTTGGGCACGTTTTGTAATCTCTTTGTGCCTCAGTTGTCTAATCTGGCAAATGGGGGTAATACCAGGACTGGTTCCAGATGTAGGAGTTTAAAGTAGACTCTGTGTGCATCTGCCCTGTCCCTCTTTAACGAGCCCTGCCCCTTCCCCTGCAGTGACATCCTAGCTTGGGAATTCACAAGCTCTGCCTCTGACTTTGCCCTGTGATCTTGGGAAAGTGCTGACCTCTCTGAGCTCTGATTATCTTCTCTGTTAAATGAAAACTTTGCATGAGATTGTGTTTCTGATTAGATTCTTTTTTTATTCCCTCTATGACCCCTGAAGGACAAGTATCAAAAGCCCTTGATTCCTTAGAGATTGTCTAGTAATCAGAGATATTCAGAGTTTCCAACTGGAGCTTCTGAACAACAACAGGCTGCCTGTGGCTTATCCAAAGCAGTTGTAAAATTCCGGGGGCGGGGGGGGGGGGGGGGGGGGAATAAAGAATCTGGGCATCTTAGATCTCTGTCACCTGCTTAAAGGACAACTAGTTTTCAGTAGGCTTATGAGGTGCTGGGGGAAAGCATATGGCTCCATGGAAGTGTTTAAAGTCTTCCAGGCCCCATGCTGGGGACTCCCACCTCGCATGACCTTTCAGCCTCTCTCTGCCCTGAAACCCTGAGTCCCTGAGAGGAACCATCCCTGACCCCTCTCACTGTGTGTGTGTCTGTGTCTGGGTAAGGGGGCGGGGCAGAGGGACAGGGGCAAGGTGTGTTCTCAGCTCTGTCATCATTAGCATCCCCTGGCTTCCCAACCTGTGGCCAATGTGCACTCACCTTGCCTGCTGGTTGTGGACCGTCCTGAGGAAGCTTCTGCAAAGAGTTCTGTGTAAGGTTAGTGGCCAGAGACCTCTCTATCCCAGAATTCCCCAGAGGACCTGGGCAGGGCTTTCTAGACATGAGTGACAGAGAAACAGACAAGGCACAAAAGAAACTGGAAAGGAGGAAGGTGACCAAGGGGAACCAGCAGGCAGAGAAAGAGATAGAAGAGAAAGGAGAGAGCAGGACTATTTATATAGACAAGCGAAAGGTGCGTGTCACCAGCAATCGGCCCCCCAGCCCCACCGAGCCATGTCAGGTGGCACAGATGCATTTAACAGGCTCCTAGACAGTCAGAGCTGGGAGCACCCCTAAGACCAACTAGTCCCAGTCCCCTCCCCCCATTTTACAGGTGGGGAAACTGAGGTTCAGAGAGGGGAAGTGACTTGTCTGAGCCGCAAGGTGAGTCACAGGTTGAGGTGGGACAAGAACCAGGTCTCCTGCTAGGGACACTGGAGCACGGTCGGCATGGGCCGCCAGTGTAGCTGGGACGTTGCCTGTCCTGGTGGGTTAAATGCTCCATTTCAGAGGAGGTGGGAAAAGAGTTCCCCCTGTTATGGACAAGTCGTTAGAATTTGATATGAATCAGTCAACACTTACATGGATGGACGTAAAGAATGCCATTGTTGGAACAGGGCGTCTCGGTTCTTAGGGGTGATAGGCATGCCTGCCGTCAGGGTTTCAGAGGGTAGACGTCTGATAGACCAGCATCCATGGTAGCTCCTTTACCGCGAGGGGAAGGCTATGGTAGGGATGGTGCCCCTCCTTCCTGTGGCCTTGCTGCCCTGCGCAGTGCGCATGGTGGGTGAGGTCCCAGAGGAGGATGGGCCTGTGGCAGCGGGAGGTTGGAGCAAGTGGCCCCTAGCAGTCGTGACGGCTTTCCCACCGTATACAATACCTCTTGCTTTTCTCTCTCTTTCTCTCTCTTTTCTCTCTCTCCCTCTTCCCTGTCTCTCCTGCCCTCCCATCCTCCCCTCCTCTCTCCTATCTATGTCGTAGGCCTGCCAGTGGTCCCCGCGGGCTTTGTTTCACCCCACTGGTGGCACACAGGGCCGAAGAGGCTGCCGATCCCTGGTATAACACCGCCTGGCTGGGTTGGTTTGGGTACACTTCTCCAGGAGGCAGCAGGAATGGACTAGCCTGGTTCCTCGAGGCCCCTTCCAGCCCTAAGATTCAAAGACAGATGATGTGGAAAGATCTAGATTAGCACTTGTATCCTTGGCACTTAAGGTCTTCTGTAAGAGGGAGTTAATTGTCTAGTAGGCTCCTGTGTAAGTACCAATCTTCACCCACCTTCCACCCAGGATTTTGGCAGGCTGTGCCATGCAGCTGGTGCCACCAGAGGGCGATGGATTCAAAATACTGAGGGTCCAAAACTTGAGGTGGTGGGGGCTTGTTCTGATAACCTCCCACTTCACAGTTCTCAGAATGTCAGCGCTGAAGGGGACTGGTTTGCGAGAGCTACAACCCCTTCATCTTGGCAGATAAGAGAACTGAGGCCCGGAGTGGGACTCTGTTGCCCAAGGTCACACAGCAAGTCAGCGGCAATGCCTGGCCTTGACACCCCAGTCTTTTGACTCTTGGTCCAATGCTCTACACACGGTGCTACTGCAGGGACTCTAGGGTGATGTGGAATGAGGTTCTCCTCTGATGGCCACGCCCTTGGCTGAGAGGGCAAGCAGGAATCTGGACCTTGACCTTCCTGGTTTTACCAGGTGCACCTACCCAAAGTGGCCACAGGCCCCAGACAGAACTGCCTTCCCGGGCTGGCTGTCCTCCCTCTTGAATATTTACATGTTCCAAATTCACTACTGCAACCCCAAAATAGGAGCTTCCTAAGACAAGGCTTTATAAGGGCATAAAAATACAGAAAAAAATATATATCTATATATAAGGATGCAACACAAAGCATCCTTGCCCCGGATGCAGGGCCAGCCCCTGACCTGCCCGTCTTTCTTTTTCAAGCTGTACATGGTGCGGACCATGCTGGAATCGCTCATCGCAGACAAAAGTGGCTCCAAGAAGACCCTGAGGAGCAGCCTGGACGGCCCCATTGTCCTCGCCATCGAGGACTTCCACAAGCAGTCCTTCTTCTTCACGCACCTGCTCAACATCAGTGGTGAGCGTGGGGCTCCCCGGACCCAGAGCCACTGAGCTGTCAGGAGGCCAGAGTTGCAGAGAGCTGTGATCCCTTGACCCAAGAGGCACATTTGCCTCAAGGAAAAAATGCCCACTCGCCGGTGAACTCTGGGAGCTAGGAAAGACCGGGCTCAGTCCAGCTACTCTGACTTGGCTGGAACTATTTGTCCGGTAGACATTGTGGCTGATTGGGCATGAAGTCCATAGTAAAGGGGGTCAGAAATAGCAGTGCACACAGATGCACCTAGGGCCAGCGTTTTGCATCTAAGCAGCAGCTCTGAGCCCTTTAGTGCTCATTGCTCCTAGCAAAGGAGGCTCCCGGCTGCACCTGTGTCCCCCGCCCCCTCCTCTTCTGTCTGTAGGATGTGTGCGCAGGTGTGATAGGGCAGAGTAGAGGGACCATAGCAGCCCAGAGTGGTCATGCATCTGTTGGTATTGAAGAGAGATCTTAACCAGTAGTCCCAAGTTCTTCACAGAAGCAGCCTAGGAAGGGCCTTCAAGACCTCGGAGCAGTGAGCTCAGAATTATCACGTACAAGGGGTCACAGAGCTGCAGTTCAGGTGAAAGCAGATCCCTCAGGCCTCTCTTCACACTTTGAGTAGCAAGTATTTTCAGGATGGCTTTGGAGCAGGGGGAGGGAAGTGGACATTGAGGGGCACCAAAAGCTCTAACACATCACCACCCCCTCCCCACACACTGTCTCTGCCTCTCAAGCTTAGCAAACCCTGTCTTCTACCGTTAGCCTGGCATTCAAGTTCAAGAGAGAAGGGTCTACGGTCAAGTCCTACCTCTGAGGACCTGCTGTGCTCCAGCACAGCCATGAGAATAACAGTCACATTCATAAACACTACGCTCCCGGGCCCTCTGTGCTCCATTGTAACCCAGGCCTTTCCCTCGTGCTTTTCAGAAGCCCTTCAGCAGTGCTGTGACCTCTCCCAGCTCTGGTTCCGAGAGTTCTTCCTGGAGCTGACCATGGGCCGGCGGATCCAGTTTCCCATCGAGATGTCCATGCCCTGGATCCTAACGGACCATATCCTGGAAACCAAAGAACCTTCCATGATGGAGTAAGATGCAAGCTTGGGCCAGCAAGGAGGTTCCTGGGGGAGGAGGTGGAGGCTAGTTTGCCAACCAACTCTGTTTTCCCCAGAGCTTTCCAGATGAGGCATTCTGCCGGGCCAAGGCTACACCAGATTTTTTAAAAATATATCTTATTGATTTTTTTTACAGAGAGGAAGGGAGAGGAACACAGAGAGCTAGAAACAATTGATGAGAGAGAAACATTGACCAGCTGCCTCTTGCACGCCCCCTACCAGGATGTGTTTGCAACCAAGATACATGCCCTCGACAGGAATCAAATCTGGGACCCTTCAGCCCGCAAGCCAATGCTCTATCCATTGAGCCAAACTGGTTTTGGCAACTACACCAGATTTGACTCAGCCTTGCAGATAGGTTCAGAAGTCTACCAGCCCGTCTGCCCCTCTTACGCTTTGTCATTCTCCTAACAGTCATGCTGGGGGGGGGGGGGGGGGTGGTAATCATCCCTGGGGATTAGGAAACTAGCTCATGTTCTTTCAGACCTTGGCTTTATTAGCATCATGGACTTTTGATTTCTGTGGGCAGATTGTAAAGTAAGTCATTCCCAAGTGGAGGCTGGAAACAGTGCTGAAAGGTTCTTCTTTTCTCTCTTTCTCCCAAAGCTTCGTGTTTCCCAGCAGACAGAAGTCTGGCTGCCATAAGAGAGGTGATTAGTAAGCTGCTGGCCCTTGTTTTTTCCTCTTCAGGTACGTCCTCTACCCGTTGGACCTGTACAACGACAGCGCCTACTATGCTCTGACCAAGTTCAAAAAGCAGTTCCTGTACGACGAGATCGAAGCCGAGGCAAGTGATGCTTCTCCCTCCGTTCCTGCAGGCTTGTTCCGGGAGTGTGGGCTTGTCTCATCTCCAGCTATTGGCACAAGTGGGGATCTTCATCCATTTAAGCTGTAACAATATCACAGACTGGGTGGCTCATACACAACAAACACGTCAGTTTCTCACTGTTCTGGAGCTGGGGTCTGAGACCAGAGTGCCAGCATAGCCGGGTGAAGGCGCTCTTCTGGGTCACAGACTTCTCACCGTGTCCTCGTGAGGTGGAAACCCAGAGGAAGCTCTCGGGGTCTCTCTTGGTTTTTTGTTTGTTTGTTTGTTTTTATTGATTTTTTTACAGAGAGGAAGGGAGAGATAAAGAACTAGAAATACCAATGAGAGAGAAACATCGACCAGCTGCCTCTTGCACACCCCCTACGGGGAATGTGCCCACAACCTATGTACATGCCCTTGACCGGAATCGAACCTGGGACCTTTCAGTCCGCAGACCGACGCTCTACCACTGAGCCAAACCGGCTTCAGCTCTTGGGGTCTCTCTTGTAAGAGCACTAATCCCATTCATGGGAGCTGAACCCTCAGGGCCTGATCACCTCCCCCCCACTCCACCCCCAAAGGCCCCACCTCTTGATACCATCACCCTTGGAGGTTAGAATCTCAGCATATGAATTTGGGGGAGACCATAGCGTCGGATCAGTGACTGGTTCCAGAGGCTGCTCTTTATAAACATCGTGGTTGTCCCCAAGGACCTAGCCCGGGATGAGGTCTTTCTTTTTCAAATGTTGAAGGGATGGGACATGATGGGACTGCTTGGGTAAAATTAATTTTCCAATGGGTCTTTTTATGGTTTGATTGCCTGGCTAATAAAAACAACAGTAATACACCTTTCAATTATTATGTATTTACCATTTGCCAGGCATAGTGCTAAGCACTATATAAACATTTTAAGTAATCTTTACACAACAATTTAAAAAAGTCTGTGCTACTATCTATTTGACAGATGTCAAGGAGTCAAGTGTCATCCCAAGGTCACTGAGTATAAAGTACTGATAGGACTGACATAGCCATCTTTTCAATTGGTAAAGCTGTTTACTAGAGAGGGTTTATTTCTGTAATGGTCAGGATAAGCTAGATTGTGATGCAGTAACAAACAACCCCAAAGTCTTAGTAGCTTGAAACCAAAGTTTTATTTCTTCAGTATGGGTTGGTGAGGACCTCTATTCTATGTAGTCTTCAATCTGGGACTCATTTGGAATATTTACTGGTTGCAGGGGGAAGGGTTAGGGCGGTGGTTCTCAACCTTTCTAATGCTGTGACCCTTTAATACAGTTCCTCATGTTGTGGTGATCCCCAACCATAAAATTATTTTCATTGCTACTTCACAACTGTAATTCTGCTACTGTTAATGAATCGCAATGTAAATATCTGTGTTTTCCAATGGTCTTGGGCTCTACAGCTGCGGTTCTCAACAGGTTGAGAACCACTAGCAGGGTCACCTAACATCATCAGAAAACACAGATATTTACATTACGATTCATACCAGTGGCAAAATTATAGTTATGAAGTAGCAACGAAAATAAATTTATGGTTGGGTACTGGAAAATAAATCAGTTTCACTAAAAAGAGATGTTGACAGGAAGCCAGGAAGGCTGGTCAACAACCTTAATTGCTCTAACCACTCACCCTTTAGTTGAGACATTGTTAGCTGAAGCAGCCTCCACCTTGTTTGTCCTGTGTAAGTTTCTGTTATTTCCTGCCTAAGGACTACATGTAAATTTCTGTTTATATTGCCTAAGATGTTTTCTCTAAAGGGTCAATGAAAGGGGGTGGCAGGGCCAGAGCAGGGAGTAGTTCTCCCACTAGAGTTGAACTACCGCCTGGCTCCTCATATCACCAAGTTGAATTTCTTCAAGTCTCAAGTCTTTTCATTTGTGTGCGGCCCTTCTCCAGAACCCGAGCTCTGAATTGGAACTCTTTCCACGTGGGCCGTGAAGGAGATTCCTACAGTTGGGGGTCACCACAACATGAGGAACTGTATTAAAAAGTCGCATTAGAAAGGTTGAGAACCACTGGGTTAGGGTGATACTTAAAGCTTCCACCTGAAAGTGACACATGCCATTGGTTACGTGGCTGTACCTCCTTTCAAAGAGGAACAAGGAAGTGCAGTCCTTCCCATGGGCCAGCAAGGGGCAGAAACATGAGATCAAAGGCGCTAATGACTTAGTTTTACCTTCTGGAAATTGGACGATAGTCTCTGTTCTACTTAAGCACGTGGGATTCTATAAACATGGAACGAGGCCCATTTGGTAAAATTGTCACACAGATATAGGGCATTCTTATTTATAAAGGAAAGACTTGAATGTTTTAGGGTATGCAGTACCACCAGATTTGTTTGAAAGTTTATGTATTCCAAAGAAAAGCTAATAGAGCTGCTGCTTTCTTTCAAGATTCTCCAATTTCTATGGGAGTTGAAATACAATCTTTTGTGTATTCTGACCCCTTTCTCTTCCCATCCCCAAACCCTGTTTCCCACCCTCAACAACCTCATGTATAAGTACATGAATGCCCAACCTTCGTCTACCACCATGGCCACAAAAAAATGATCTCTTGGCCAGCCCTGGGTAGTGCATATACCTGCAGTGTAGTTCATCTTCAAGGTTAAACTCAGGGAAAAGAGCATACAGGGCCTGGAAGAGGCTTGAGCCACTTGGGCAAGGACACTCAAAGCTGTTCAAGACGAGGATCATGGGATATGACTGGGCACTCCCATCTGGACCCTGCAGGCTCTTAGCCTGGAGGAAGACCAATATCTTTGAAGTTCAAGTCCAGGTTGGATGCCTTGGTTATCTGCATATGTTTGGGAAAACTGGTTCCCATATACAGTTCCCACTGTATATGCCCCTTGGGGTGTAAGACAAAAGGCATGAAAGCTCTTTGAATATAGAGCTGAAAATTTGGTTTAAAAAAAAATAATAATCGAAGATGAATCGCCTAAATATGATCTGTTTCCTTTGACATTGCACTGCCACTCCCCTTTGAAATTTCATCATCAGCCATTTCCTGCTCTTGGTGGGTTGGAGGATTGGGATTTGATCCTCTGTGTCTGATGAGAACTTCCTTCCCACCCGAGCATTACCGTTGGGATGAAACATTGGCCTGGCAAGATAGACCCTTGTTCATTGAAAATCAAAGATTTTTAAGCATCATATTTTTTTGAGCGTTTAAACTTCTGATGACCACTCACCTCTTTATTTGCAAAGCAAGGTTAAGTACAGTGAAAGGAAAAGACAAGAAAGTCTGTCAGGAGAGGTGGCCAGGGGAGTCCAACGCAAGTCATTACAGGACATGAAGACCTGTCTGTGGCGTCCACCTTGGGCAGGCGGCCCCTGTGACACTGAAGAGGGGACTAGTGAGGAGGGTGGTTCCTCCACAGCTTTTCGAACTTTGCCTTCTGTGTGCCTCACTGAGCACCTTGAGAACAAAGAACCAGGCTTTCCAAAGTTAGCTTGGCCATATAGTCTTTTTTCTTTTTACCCTCAAAGCCTCTGCCCCACAGCTTCAGGCAGACCTGCCCACTGCCCTCTTTGAGTTGCCCAAGTGTCTGTGGTAAAGCTGGACAGACTCCACTGACATGTTCTGCTTCCTCTTCACCAGGTGAATCTGTGTTTTGATCAGTTTGTCTACAAGCTGGCGGATCAGATCTTCGCTTACTACAAAGCCATGGCCGGCAGGTAAGAGAGCCTGGGGTTTGCTGCCGCAAAACCTCCCTTCATTCCCATGTAAGGAAATCTAAATGCTTCCATGGGTCTGGACTGGGTGCTAGAATGTAGGGGAGGAGAATAGACAGATCTATGTCTGGGGAAGACAGACATTAATAAAAACTAGTGAATGCACAGTGACAAGGGAAGTTACTTGCTCCCTATGAAGGCAGAGTTCATGGAAATGTATGACGGTTAAACCTGAACTGGTCGTTGGGTGGGGAGCTGGAACGGCTGTCCTGAGAAACATACATTTGAGTTCATTTCTGAAGGTGATAGGAGTACAGTAGTTTTGAAGGAGAGGACAGGAAAATGTAGGGAAAGGAACTATTTGTGCAAAGTCCCTGAGGCAGAAGTATAGTAACAATAGCATGCCAGATACCACATGATATATCACTTATATGTGGGATCAGAAAAACAGAACATATGAATAAAACAAAAAAGAGAAACAAATTCACAGAGAGCAAAGTAATGGTTGCCAGAGGGGAGAGGTGGATGGGTAGATGAAAAGGATCAAGCTTAATGAGAGGTACAAACTTCCCGTTATAAAATAAACAAGCCATGGAGATGTAGTGTGCAGCATAGGGAATATAATCAATAATACAGTAACAGCTCTGTATGGTGACATACTTACTAGACTTCTCATGATGATCATTTCTGAAAGTATATAAATGTCAGATCACGATGTTGTACACCTGAAACTAATATATTGTGTGCATTACTTGGAAAGTTCGAGAGGCTGTTGAGAGGGTTAAGGTGAATTAGTACATGTAAAGATCTCCACAGACCACAAGAGGGAGCAAATGGCATGACTAAGCTGGAGAGAAGCTGGAAGAGTTAGAAAGCACAGGAAGGGAGGAATGATCTAGATCAGTGTTGACCATTAGAAATATAATGCAATTAGCCCTGGCCCATGAGGTTGGTTGGGTGTCATCCCGTGTACCAAAAGGTTGCAGGAGGCAGCGGATCCATAATGTTTTTCTCTCCCTCTTCCTCCTTCTCTCTCTCTAAAAAAACAAACAAAAACAAAAAATAATTAAAAATCTCGAGAGAAGAAATATAATGCAATTATACATGTGAGCCACAAATGTAATTTTTAAAATTTTAGTTGCCATATTTAAAAAAGGAAAAATAGGCAAAATTAACTTAGCAATATATTTTATGTAATATGGAATCCAGTATATCTAAAATACTACAATTTCAGCATGTAACAATTAAATAGTACTAGAGATAGTTTTCCTTTTTTTTGTCTAAGTCTTCAAAATCTAGAATGTAGTTTATATTCATAGAGCATCTCCACGTGGACCCACCGCAACTCAGGTGGTCAGCAGGCCCAATGGGGTGGGTGGCTGCTCTTGGTACTGGAGAATGTGCATTTAGATTGGGTCACTGTCCTGCTTCATGACTTCCTTTCCATGACAACCAGTTACATCTGGAGAGCATCTAATCTCTTTTCCTGTGGCTTAGTTCCTGTCTTCTGGAATTCCACGTGACCTGGCCCCTGGACTAACTTTCTAAGTTCATTTTTGTACCATGTTCTCTACAAGGCACTGCCCTATATCCTTGGTGGCCATCTTTCCTTTTCTCAGACATCCCAAGCTCATTGTGCCTGAGGGATTCTTCCCCCAGGTCTGGCTATTTTTCGCATGTGTAGGTCTCTGTCCAACAAAACCTCTCCAGAGAGGCTTTCTCTGACCTCCTCATACCAGATGGTCCTGTTTTATTGTTTCCAGAGCACTTATTACTCTGCAGTGTGCTTCAGTGTGAAAGATGATAATGGTACATCATAGATGTGAGATGAAAAGCATGCACGTGCACACATGATAAATAACTAATAGCATGCAGACGTACACTACTTGAAATTATTTTATTCCTCTGCCTTTTTCTTTTTTTTAATATATTTTATTGATTTTGTACAGAGAGGAAGGGAGAGAGATAGAGAGCTAGAAACATCGATGAGAGAGAGTCATCGATCAACTGCCTCCTGCACACCCCCCACCGGGGATGTGCCTGCAACCAAGGTACATGCCCTTGACCAGAATCAGACACGGGACCCTCCAGTCCCCAAGCCGACGCTCTATCCACTGAGCCAAACCGATTTCGGCTCCTCTGCCTGCTTTTTTAGTTTCAGTCTCTTCTCACTAGAACGTGGAATTCCAGAAGACAGGAACTTTGTATTCTTAGTACTTAGAATGTCTGTCCCAAGCAAGGATCTGGGATATGATGAGCACACACTCGATTTTGTTGTTGTTGTTGATTTTTTGGTCAGTGAATAAAAGAGAAAAGTCAACTTCTGTGTTGCCAGTCTTTTAACGTAGACATTCTGGTTCACATGTTGAGCTCTTCTGGTTGAAAAGAAATTTGAAGGGCTTTGCTCTAAAACAGAAAAGAAATTTTACTTAAAATGAATAAAACCAGTGCTTTATGGGTGGATCCTAGTCTAAAGCAGACGTGGCGAGGCAGTTGAAAATGATTCGCTGTCACGTTGGCTGGCCTCATTTAACTCAAATCCCTTCCAGTGTCCTGTTGGATAAACGTTTTAGAGCCGAATGTAAGAACTACGGAGTCATCATTCCGTACCCGCCGTCCAACCGCTACGAAACGCTGCTGAAACAAAGACACGTCCAGGTAACAGGGAACGGAACCCCCGGTGGAACCGGAGCAGGCAGGGGAGGGTAGCTGTGAGGTGAGCAAAGAGATCAGAAACAGGACTGTGCTGGCTGCACCTTGCCCATGTGGATGTCTAAGAGAGGTGTGACACAGCCTCTGAGTCTACAAACAGTGCAAAGGCATGGGGCCTCCTATGGTTCAAGTTCCTGGCTCTCTGCTCGTCTGCACTCACCTCTGGGAGCAGTCGCCACCAAAGCCTCTGTCTTCCCATCCTAAGCTGCCGCCCACTTCTTTCCATCAGGACTGCTGCTCAGCCATGGGTAGATGTGTTCCTGCGAGGTCAGATGCCAGCCTAAGTGATGGAGAGCTTTGGGCCTTTGAAACAAAGCATGTCAGGCTAAACCCAGGGTAGAAACTATGGTTTATTTTTGTGCTGTTGGTTTCTGTGAACACTTGACCCCTGGTGTAGAGGAAATGCTATCAGGAGCTCAGACACAGACTCCTGCTTACAAACATTAATGGAACAAGGCAGTCAAAATAAGAGCTGCCCTGCTGGCAGCCACGCGGTAGTGAAATGGCCTTTCTGCCGTAGCCTCTGCCTACTTCTCCTGTGGTCCATGGTGTTTGTGGAAAAGACTGAGGTGAAGGGGGCCAAGCCTCCACGGAGAAGATGCTCTCGATGAAGAGGAAAGGGGTTCCTTGGAAACCCTGACATCCCCGTTGCTATGAGAAATGCAAGGGAAATGGAGACTCATAACAGGAAAGAGAACATTCATTCTCTCCTCTGCCAACAAGAGAATGATGACTGTCGCTTACTGATGCAGCAGAATTAGCCACAGGGTGTTCAGTATTGAGGGCTTTATGTGTGCACATTGTGGCATTAAGGGGCCCTCATCGGTTGGTAGAAAATTCACCCCAGAAGACAAGTAGAAAAAATTACATGGTTAATAATAATCCTTGGGTACCTAGCAAAGTGCAGGGCACAGAGCAGGCGGCCAGTAAATGTCTACTGCTCTCTCTATGGCACCTGCAGTACTGCCCCTGTGTTCCCCAGTGGAAATGACTGTAAGCCACATTTTCCGTTCTGTAACCAGCCCTTCATGCTCCTGCTTTTAAATTCATCCCCACAAAGGCACACCCCTTGCTGAGGGGTGGCTATTCCTGGTGACTGTGAATTGGGGCACAGGGCAGATTCAGGAAGGAGCTCAGAGCTAATTTGGGATGTTGGCATTGCATGGATGCCAGAGCCTATCCTGAGCCTCTTCCTGCAGTCTGAATAAATTGTATTTCCCCCCAATGTTTTATATTTCAAAGCTACAGGAAACTTGAAAGAATAGTACAATGAGTACATATATTCTCTATAAACAGATTCATGATTACTAATGTTTCACCACTGTCTCTTTCTCAGCTATATATTTTCTCTCACCCATAAATATGGCAAATATATAAAATATATTTATGTATAAATATAAATAACATATGGAAATATATATTTTAAAGAAGATACTATTTGCCCAGACAGTGTGGCTCAGTAGTTGAGGTTTGATTCTCTGTTAGGGGGCATGCAGGAGGCAGCTGATCAATGATTCTCTCTCATCATTGATGCTCTTATCCTTCTTTCTTCCTCTCTCTGAAATTAAATATATATATATATATATATATATATATATATATATATTTTAAATATATCTTTTTTTCTTAACCATTTGAGAATAAGTTGCATATTATGAGATTTTATCCCTGAACACCTCAGCACCTATCTCCTAAGAACAAGGACATTCTCTTGTAATGAAAATAGAATTGTCATACTCAGGAAATTGGACAATACTGTTTTCTACAGAGCGTCCCTATTTGCCCCAGTTATATCCTTTATACTTTTAATTCAAGTTCCTTTCAGTGCATTGCATTTCACTGTTGTGTCTGTGCAAATCTTACTACTAAGTAATTCTATGCTCTCTTTCTCTCTCCTCTCATATCCAGCTCCTGGGTAGATCAATTGACCTGAACAGACTCATTACTCAGCGCATCTCTGCTGCCATGTACAAATCCTTGGACCAGGCCATCAGCCGCTTCGAGAGTGAGGACCTGACCTCCATAGTGGTAAGAGATGGGACGATCTGGGATTCTAGCTGGATGTCATTGTGAGCTTAGTACTGGGCCAGTTATAGAGGGCAGCAAGCTTCCTTCCTATCTGAATAGAGCAGGAAAAACAGACTTAAGAATGAGAATAATCTTACCCTCCTGATTGCCGGGATAATAGAGAGGGGGTCTTGAATTCTCTTGGGAGGGCCAACTTGAGGGCACAACTGCTTGTCCTTTTGGATGCTGTAGGTCCCGGCAAGTAGCTGGGCAAGCCAGGGAAGTTTGCACAACAGAGCCGGCCTCATGGGTGTGCCGTAGTACAGGGCCCAGAGGGGCTCTGTGCTGGGTTCAATGTTCTGCTCTTGCTGTCTTAAAATTCTTGATAGTTGTTTTTAACAAAGGTCCCCACATTTTCATCTGCCAGGGTGTTTTCATTTCATTCCTGTTGCACAAGCATGGACCTTCCCTCTATTAAACAGCTTGTGAACTTCTCTATATTCATTCTTTTCAAGAATTAGAGTAAGCTTGATTGATAGTCAGTCTTTAAGTGAGAATCAAAGGAAGGCTTTAATGCTTTCAAAAGCAGATGAGTAGAAGGATTGAAGTCACCATTAGATCACTACATGGAGGCTGAAATTAGTGGGCAGAATTTTTTAAAAATACTTTTTTATCGATTTATTTTTGGGATTTATATTTGAGAATGCCAAACATTGATTGGCTGCCTCCTGCACACACCCTACTGGGGATTGAGCTCACAACCAGGCATGTGCCCTGACCTGGAATCAAACCAGCAACCAAAACAGCACAGGACAACACCCAACCCACTGAGCCGCATCAGCGAGGGCAGTGGACAGAACTTTAAGAAAAACATATTATGATTCCAATTATTAGGAGATTCCCAGAGTAGCCAAATTCATGGAGACAGAAAGTAGGGGGTAGTTGTGGGGAAGGAGCATTAGTGTTTAATGGGTACAGAGTTTCTGTTGAGGAAGATTAAGAAGTTCTGGAGATAGGATGGTAGTGATGGTTGCACATTAATGTGAAGGTACTTAATGCCATAGAACTGTACATTTAAAAATAGTTAAAATGGTAAACTTTATGTTATATATATTTTCCCACAATAAAAAAAAAATTACCCCCCAAATTAACTTTGGGAAGAAACAGAATACTTGAAAAATAATATTAAATTATCTCCTTCAAGGCATTTATTTGCTCCAATTAGAAAAATAGTACATTTACAATGGGGAGACCTAGCAGACCCTCTTACCCAGGCATCAAAGGTAGTAATAAGATATATTCATGTGTCCCCTGATACGTATTTTTCTGTGGTATTTCCAAAATGCATAATCTCAATCTAATCATGAGAAAAAGCACAAAAACCCATATCAAAGGCAGTCCCTCAAAAGAAACACACACACACTCAAACAGTGAACAATACTTTTCAAAAGCATCCAGATCATAAAAGGCAAAGAAAGACTGAAAACAACTAGAGTTGGAAAAGACTAGAAAACAAGACCACTAAATGCAATGTGGGTCCTGGATTGAATTCCAAAGCAACAAAAAGTACCTTTGTGGTGAAATTCAAATAAGATCTGTGTTGAAATAATAGCACTGTACTCACCTTAATTTCCTACTTTTGATGATCATGCCATGGTTATATAAGAGGTTACCATTGGATAGACAGGGTCAGAGGTAGGCCGGAACGCTGCTGTTTTCACTTTTATGTAAGTCTAAAATTATTTTCAAATAGAAAGGTGTTTGTTTGTTTTTAAGTGGACAAGAACTTTTTTTAAAAAGATTGAAAAGTAGGGTTTCAGAGTCAGAAAGACCAGCGGGCGCAGTCCTGACCCTGCCTCTTACTGGCTGGGCGACCTTGGCAAGTTATTTATCTTCTGTAAGCCTGTTTCCCTACCTGCCCCGTGGAGGAAAGATTAGCATTCCTCCCATGGATGAAATGCACTACTGTCTGGAAAGAGCTTTGCAAGGATGAAATGCACTACTGTCTGGAAAGAGCTTTGCATAATTCATTGCACTTAATAAATAATAGCCTGTGGGAAAGAAACAGAGAGGAACATAGGAATCTGGAGCTGCAGTGAGATGTTCTCAGGGTGAATTTTCAACAACATTTCCTAAGAGGACTCGACCCAGCTGCCCACCTCAGCCCCAGCTCCCAGACGGGAGGAGACTGTCATGGAGCACGCCTCCTTCCGGGACATGTATTTTAAGAGAGAGATTTTTCTTTGTTGATGCCCAAATGTTAGCAGTGATTATCTCCAAGCGGTAGGACCTTCTGTCTTTTTTTTTTTTTTTTTTTTAATCTATCTGTATCTTCCAGTTTCCCGGTAATAAATGAGCTTAGCGTGTGGGAAAACTGGTTTGGGGCGTGCGTGGGTGTGCGTGCCCAACCCTTGAAAGGCACTGACTGCTTTTTGAGCCAAGAATAAAATGGAAACAAGCAGTGAAGGCCGGTGCTTAGCAGGTGAAGATGATGGCCCCCAGGAGAGCAGCCACTGCCCCTGAAGCCCTTGAAGAGACAGGCCCAGGGACACTCCCCCGTCACCTCCACTGAGAGGCTGCAGCCTCTTCTGAAAAACAAACTCAGGGATGCGCTGCCCTCAGCCCTTCCCTCCGCCTTAGAGGCTCCTATCTGATGGGGAGGCTGCAATCCTTTCCTGTCAGTAACCATCCTCCTACGCAACCACGTAAACAGGTGCTCCGAGAGAGCTCTGAAAAGCCGAAGGTGGCCAGGGCCAGTGCGGCTCAGTGATTGAGCATTGACCCAGGAACCAGAAGGTCATGGCTAGCTGGGCCAAAAGAAAGCAGAGAGCTGGTCTGTGTGTCTGCCCTCCTCTATCTCATGGTGCACGGGGACTGGACTCCTACTCTTCCAGCTGCCACTCCAGAATTGGAGTCCAGATGTTGACCTATTTTTGAGAAATGGCAGCATCTGCTCTCTCTCCCACTCAGCCCCTTTCCCATTCCACAATCAGATGGAGTTAATAGCAGCTGTGCCTTCTCTGGGCCGGGCACTCCGATTTGCCGCAAACAACCCAGCCCACGACTCCCGCCTGCCCCGCTTGTGCCACTTACCTGACCTGTCTGGCCATTGAAGCCATTTAAGCTTGCAAGCTGCGATCCAGTTCTGTGCCCCCAGTTTAGGGCCACGGAATCTGAGTTTCAGAGTGGTTAAGCTCCAAGATGGGATGCGTGGCCGGAGGTTACACTCTGGACCCCGACCATGGTTCTGGAGGCTCTGTGGCCGATGAGAACAAAATAAAGTCGCTTGTGTGGGGCTGCCTCGTGAGATCACAGACAATTAAGCTGCACCAACTATCCCACCTCTGGGCTGCACTCTGGTGAACTGCCCTTCTGAGGTTCTCTTTGCTTTTAAGTTTTAAGACCGTCTTTATTTTCAGAGGGCTTTCTTAGCCATTGTTTCTCTACTCCTGGCAGCTATCTGTGTCACAGGAGTCTGAAGACCTGGATTCACATCTTAAGCCCTGTTACCTATGTCCTGTGTGATCTTGGGCAGGTTACTTCACCCGCCAAGCCTCAGTTTCCCCACTCTGAAACAGAGGCAGTCATTCCCATCTTAAGAGACAGCTTAGCCACAACAGTGCAGGAGTGTCCTGAGGCATCATGTGGAGGCTTCCTCCTCTCTCTCTCTCTCTCTCTCTCTCTTTCTCTCTCTCTCTCTCTCTCTCTCTCAGCACGAGACTGTGCTCTGATGCTTTTTAATGGCAATATGATAAGGGACTAGACAAGCCCAAAGGGTTCACTCTCCTTTCGCTCCTCGGCAAATGCAGTGCCCTGTTGTGTGTGGATAGTATCCCCTCTGCTCCAGTTCTCTACCCGAAGGTGGCCCACAGCTCTCAGGTCACTGTGGCCAACAGCAGGTTGCTCGTTTACAGCTTGCAGCCACACCTAGGCCGGGGTGACTACCCCTGCGTGACTGAGGTCCCTACAGCCCAAAGGGGGGATGATCTGCTCCCAGCTGCTTTCAGAATTCCAAAGGGTTAGGAATGTGGCCTTTGCAGCCCAGCTTCCCAGATTTGAAGCTAAGTTACTTCACTTCTCAAAGCTTCCGTTTCTATATGTGCAAAGGAAGGCAGCAATAACGCTGACTTCATAGGGGGGTTGAACATGTTAACACATATAAAGTGCTTAAAATACTGCTTGGCACATAATAGGTTGAACCCTATGAAATTACTGATTTGATGGTGTTTGACCTAAACTATCAGTTGCTTGGTGTGATCTGACCTCATCGTAAGCACCTAGTGTGCCTGCTTAAAGCAGGGCTGACACGTAGTCTCTGGTGACAGCCAGTCACAGCTTCCTTTTACGTTACCTGTAACCCCTTACCTGTGACCCCGAGGGGCAGGCTTTTTCTCACAGGTGGAATCTGGAGAGCAAGCAGGCATGCTTTGTACCCAGAGGGGGGCAGATAGGCATCTGCATATGACCTGGTCCCCTTCCTGGGACAGGCACGCAGCCTGGGCAAAGGCTGTCAATCCCTTCCACTCAGAACAAGAGAACATTGTCACATGGGGTCCTAGTCCCCATGCCAGCTGATGGGAGGTTGTGTGAGGGGCTCTCCTGTGTGACAGAATGGGTCAGACCAGCTGGTGCCCACCTATAAGGTCTATGTGAGTGCTCAGCAGCCGAGGTTCTCTCTCGGACAGGAGCTGGAGTGGCTGCTGGAGATCAACCGGCTCACACACCGGCTGCTGTGCAAGCACATGACCCTGGACAGCTTCGACGCCATGTTCCGGGAGGCCAACCACAACGTGTCCGCCCCGTACGGCCGCATCACCCTGCACGTCTTCTGGGAGCTGAACTTCGACTTCCTCCCCAACTACTGCTACAATGGATCCACCAACCGGTAAGGACTCCCTGTCGGAGGGGCTGGGGTGGCTTAGGGTCCAGGGAGCAGCCAGCTGCCTCCTCAAACTAGGCCCAGCCCAGGGGTCAGCTCGTCCCTGCTGCAGGCATCTCACGGGACCCCTCCTGGGTGCAGGCTCTGTGCTGGAGGCAAGTAGACACCTTCCTTCCTGCTTCTTGGAGCCTTCAGGCTAGATCCATCGATCACACGATCTATGAAACGATGTATCACACGTTTCATAAACTATAAATGTGCTGTGATAAGCAGTGAACATAGAGATGGAAGAAAGCCCACGGAGCCACAAGAAAATAGCACCACCTGATCCATTCCGGGGAGCCACGCAGACCTCAGGAGAGGCCTCCTCCTCTGAGCAGGCATGCCTGAGTCAGCATAAATAGAACAAAAAGGCAGAAGAGTATTCCAGGCAAAGTTCCTAAAGAGCCAGGAAGCTGGTAAGGGTGGAGCAGGTGGGACAGGGAATGGTACCATGAAAGATGCGGCAGGATGCAGGAGGAAGCAAAACCAGACTGGACAGCTCCGCAGACCACATGAGGATCGAGCATTTATCAACCTTGAAGGAAAGGGAGTGACTTGATCAGATGGCACTTTTGTGAGGACACCCACATATGGGAATGCATGTGTGCAAACAGGCATACGTGTGCAGAGCACACACATGCATGGCAATGCGGAGCATGTCTCCTGCAAGTGCACTCAGCCCTGGGCCAGGCACCACGGAAGAAACAAGACCTAATCCCATATCCCCCCAGAGGTTCAAAACCTGGGGGAAGAGGAGAGAGATGTTCACTGCAAAAATCAGTACATAAGGATGAGCAGAGCTGTGTGCAGGTCCTCTCTGTATCCTTGGGATCGGCATTCAGTGAGCATGTGCTGAGCGAATGGGAGGTCTGGGAGGAATCCACAGATGCTTCTAAACCCATGCCCTTAGCAAGACGCACTTCCTGTTCTCTGAAGATTTGGGACCTTTAATCTTCTTGAGCAGAAGTCTGCACACCCTGGCCCACAAGCCACATCCAGTTCCCCGCTGTTTTTATGCAGCCCATGAGCTAAGAATGGGATTGATGTTTTTAAATGGTGAGGGAGAGGGGGAATCCAAAGAAGACTCATCATGTGTTGGCAAGAGGAAAGTATTTGAAATTCATAGGAATTCAGCCACGCTCATTCATTTACTCTTGTTTACGAGTGTTTTCATGCAACCAGCAGAGCTGGTTTATTTGCAGCAGAGACCATCTGGCTGGCAAAGCTAAAAATATTTGCTGTCTGGGCCTCTACAGAAAGGGTTTGCAGAACCCTGCCCTGGGGAAACAAACTTGGGGGTGGGGAGGTGGAGATATGGGGCCTGGAGCAGGCGATTCTCAGGCCCAGCCCCCTGTCCTGAGCAGCCACTACCCCCACATCAGGAGTGTGGTCTGGACTGCAGCTTTCCCATCTTTGAGGAGGAGGCAGGGGCTGGATGGGAGTATGTCAGGGGCACTCGCCTAGGAAGCGGTGTGGTTGCACCTGGTCAGGAACGGCTCCTACCTCACATCCGCTGAAGACTATCAGGACTCGGTTAACTCCTGCCCCATCTTTCTTCTCCTAGTTTTGTCCGAACTGCCATTCCTTTCACCCAAGAACCGCAAAGAGACAAACCCGCCAACGTCCAGCCTTATTACCTCTATGGGTCCAAGGTGAGTCATCTTGCCCGTGTCCTACCTCTAAGGGGGCTAGTGAGCAAAAGCAAACAGAAACGTGTTCCCCGAAAGAGAAAAGCAAGGAGTGGAGAAAAAGAGACAACAGTGAGTCCAGGCGGAAAAGACTGTGAGTTTATTCACCTTTATTTGATCACAACTAGTATCTTTATTTGTTCACAACTAGTATCTTTATTTGTTCACAACTAGCAAGGATGGGGGTGAATTCCAGCCAGGCGCTGGATCCCGCACAGGAAGGTCTGGGGAGGGGACCGGGGCAGTGCATGCATGGGGTTTCTCTTCTTGGCGTTTCCCCTCACCTCCTGTTTCTCGGCTGATTCGAGGCGGCATCATCCTGGGATTCTGGGGTTTGTGTTTTATAGTTATAAGGCGTCCGTCCGCATGCAGGAAGCAGTAGGGAAGGGTGCTAGACTGGGGCTAGAACTGGGGCTTTGACTGGGGCTAGAACTGAGCAGCTTTGTTCACAAGCACCCATCCTGGCGCTAACTACACATTCCCAGTGGTGCCAGTGGTAGACCTTCTGTCCACGATGCGTCGGACAGACATTTATTCAACACCCACAATAGGCCAGACACGGGGCTCGGTTTTACACGCTGGGGGTGTCATAGAGATTGAAGCAGACGTCACCACTGCCCTCCTCAAGTTCCAGTTCCACCTCCTGGTGACGGCAGGGAGCACCGTGCACGGTCTCCCCGTCACGAAGGAGGAGATTCACTTCTTCCCGGGGGTGCTGAGGGAGGACTGAAGGATGCCACCGAAGCGATGAGGTGTGTCAACAACAAAAAGGCCAACATTTCTCTTAGGGGTGCAACAAAATGGCCACCTTTCACCCCGTTTCCCGATGAACTTAGAAGAGGAACACTGGATAAATGTTGAGAAAGGTGGCCCTCTGGCCAGGGAGCTCTAGGGTTAGGAAGGGAGGTGAACCCAGATGCGCTCCCGCCAGCCAGGCCTAGCGGTGGTGCTGGGAGGTGTCTTTTTCGGAGCAGCCAGTCCGGTCAAGGCAACATTCTCATCGTGACGTTGAGACAAGCATTTTCGATGGTTCACAGTCATGGCTTTAAATCCCAGCGATTCACAAAGTAAGAACACCTCCCTTCCCACTTCTCTGGCAAATCTCGTTGCTTATATCAAGGAGAACAAGTCTTTAGTCCTTCAATGCTTGCTAATCTCCCGTTTTTATTAAAGAATAGAAAGCATGCTTTAAACTTGGAGTCTTTCATAGGCAGTAGTATCTAGGCCAAATGTATTATTTTGTTTTCGTCCTATTGATCCTTCTGTCTCTTTTTTTATGGTGGGAGGGTGCCGGTATTCGTGTTTGAATTCACGTACAGCTTCGTTTTAAAATAAGTTTACGTTTTAAAATATGAGTCCATTTAAAACTATTTGCTAAGAATAGTAAAGATGGTAACTGGCTTAAACACACACACACACACACACACACACACACACACGCACACAAAATAATGTCCGAGGTGGAACGGAATTGCCTGAAAGTTGGAAAACAAGCTGGGGCGAGCCTTCGTCCACTTTTTCAAAACAGCCCCCCCCCCGCAAAGCAGAGGCTGGACTTCGGCCTGAAGCTGATTGGCAGCAGAGCTCAGCGAGCCCGTCTTCACCTCCACAGCCCCCCTGCAGTCTCCTGTGTTTTAGTCAAGTCATGCAAATTTCACTTTCTGCATCCTCAGGAGGGATTCAAGTATGCTTTCACGTTAAGATAAGTGTATTTCTAACTCTCCCAGAGCACAGCATGGGGGTGAGTCCTCCGGCGTGAGGAGTGTGGTCGCCGAGCCAGGGGGTCCACAAGAACACTGAATTTGCGAGGAGACATGGGAAGTCTACTACGGACACATTTTTACAAAGGAACTACCGTGAGGGGGAGGGCTTGATGCCACAGATTGGGGGCTGCTCCTCCCCTTCTCTCACTCCTCAAGATGAGGCAGGATGCCGGGTTGGCCACCACCCTCCTTCTGGGGGGCACCTTCATCGGGGGCATCCGAGTCGTCGGCGTTGGCTTCATCTTCGCCTGTGTCTGCGTCTGCGTCTGCGTCTGTGTCTGTGTCTGTTTCTGTGTCTGTGTCGTCTGCGTCTGCGTCATCTGGGTCGTCTGTGTCTGGGACTGCGGCTGGCGCTGCGGCTGGGGCTGCGGCTGCAGCTTCGGCCTCGGGTTCCACTCCAGCACCTGAATCTCTGGGTGGTCTTTCCATGAGGGGGAGGCCCTGCTGGTCTTCCTCATCCTGATCAGGAGCCTGGCCGTCCTGTGGCCATCGCACCAACCCATTGGCTTCCACTGCGTGGGGCCCTCTGTAAGACCAACGGGGCACGTGGCAGTGGATGCACAGGTACTGGAGGCCGACGAAAGCAAGGACGGCTGTGAAGCCGGCCAGCAGAATGGCCAGGATGACCCACAGGGACATGTGGGGGTTTACCAGGTAGCCTCTGGGAATCAGCGGGTTCTGATCCGGGGTGTAGAACATTTTGCAGTAAGGATTCTGGTGGTAGGTGATCCTCTTGCAGCTGACGCAGAGGTAGTAGAAAGTGGAAGGGGCTAGGTGCTCGAGAGCCACCCTGGTGACGGTTTTAGGCACCTTCTCCTCATAGTGGAAGCTGTTGCGAATGTAGCCGGCGAAGATGTTGTTGTTCCAGTTGGCCTTGTACATCACGTGGTAATGGTCCTCCTGGCAGGGCTCGTTGGCAGTCCAGGAAACGATGGCTCCCGAGGAAGAAAGGTTCCTCACCTCGATGTTCATCCCGATCCTGCAACCAGGATCAGAGTGAAGAGTGACTTCCCCCGAATTATTGCTTTGTGATCATCCTAGCCACTCTTTAGGGAGCATTTGAGATGGGGACTAATGTTACCCCCATTTTACAGACCAAAAATGGAGGCCACAAGGCCATGTTACTTAGCTAGGCACAGCTAAACAACCGCGCGACAGACGTCCCACCCGGGCGCTCTCGTGCCAAAGCTGGTGGCCTTCAGACTGGAAAAAAAAAGGTGCCCACATTCCCCAGTCCCGTCCTGCCCTGGTTCAGGTTCCCAAGCCTTAAAAACAGGAAGAACAGAGGCAACGGAAGGAGGAACCAGGACCCTCTCAGAGTCCCTGCGTGAGTCACCACAGGTCTGACACCTGCACGTCGGGCAGGTGCTTCACCTGGATTCCCCTTCCCGACCTCTTGCGTCTTCTCTGAGTGCTGGTAGCCCCGCCATCTGGAACATTTTGCCTCCCAGCTCTTGTTGCCCACAGCGACAGATTTGTTTTGTCACTCGTTGGCGGCTCATTTCTCCCCAAAGCCTCTGCTCTTTGTGTTTGTTTTTTCAAAGCCAAAGGTACCCAGGAAATCGTTTCACAGATCCATACAATCAGCTCCTACTACCAGCACAGCTGCTACATTTTATTACTAATACTACCGGAACCAGGAATGTTAATAATAGCGATAACCACCAGTTAGCAAGCCATTGCCCTCTCGCAGCTCCTGCTAGCTGTTCAACCTACAGTAACAAATCCTTTTTATTCGTCATCACGCCCTCTGAGCTCGATTTCCGTTTTATGGATGAGCAATCCGAGGGGACCCAGCTCATAGGAACCAGCCCCAAGGCCATGTAACCGCTGGATTCTCAGAGCAAGGCCCCTGGGTTTAGTAATAGAATGACAGGAGACGCTGATACTAGGACCCGCTGCTGTTTTTCCAGACAAATCCAACGAGCCGTCTTCAGATTGCCAGCCCCCAAGCCTTTTTGTTGCTTTTTCATTCTGCGTGTTTCCACCTCCCTGAATCTCCCCTTCTCTAAAACCCAGGGGCAGCCATATTCAACCTGCCATATTCAACCAGCGTATGTTGACATAGAGGTCTCCCCCTGCTCTGTTCTCTGCTCCTCCTCTCCTGTGAAATACCGAAGGTTTTGTTTTAGATTGCAGTGTCGCAGTCAAAAAATAATCCGATTTTAATCAGGATTGGAAATTAAACCAGACTTCCACGAGGAGCTGTTCTCCCTCCTCCCTGCCTTCCTCCCCCCTCCCACCCCAACTTCTGTTTTCCTAGAGGGGGTGAGCTGCAGAAAGACGCATTGCGTCTAGTGCTTTCGCAGTTCATGTTTTCCTTCTCTAAGGATGACAGTGAACATTAAAATGCTCAGGAAGGGGAGTCGCTCTTTCCTAGGTGGCTGGAAATTTCCTCCCAGGAAAACGGGGCATGAAAGGGACGAGACAGGTGTGTGTGCTCGGATCCCTCCAGGGGAGGTCATTGCGAAGGAGACTGACTATGTACACTCCCTCTCATGCACACCTAACCCACGCCACCCAGCACCCCACACAACCCTATAAAAACCCCTCCACCTCAGTGAAAGAGCTTAATTCATGACTAAGGACTCAGAGGCAACGGCCCTCGTAAAAACCCTTCCTGCAGGGGTGATTAGCAATCAGTTTCTTGTTGTGAATCCTCTCTCCTGTTTGCCTCCCCTCTGCAGCTGGCTGTCTTTGCAGACTGAGTTCCCCCACAGCAGACATTGTTAAGAGCTTTCTGTCAAGATGCTAGCAGCATCCTCAGCTTTTAGAACCAAATCTGTCTCACTTATTATTTATTTTCCTTTCTTTGCTTCTGTTTGGAAACATTCCCCCGACCCCAATCCCCCACCCCTGTGCATAGCTATGTATATTACCATGGCCTGGCCCTCCTCCAAGCAGAGTGGGAAGGGAAAAGTCATTTCCATTCCCAAGAAGAGCCGTTTTCCCTCTTACCTGATGCTTGTGAGCTGAGGATCTGGTTAGAAGCGTAGCCTTCAGAGGCAGAATGGACCCGAGCTAAGGGAATGGTGTGCCTTCCCCCGTCTGCTCTGGGCTCTGCTGATGTCTCTCTCGCCACTGTCTGAGTAATCCCACTGCCGCCCCCAATGCTCACTCTATTCATTTCTTCAGATCAGCATCATTCACCATGGCAACCAGCAGGCATAAGTACGCAGGATGCTTTCGTGACCAGTCTGG